CTACTTGGGAAAGGGATCCCCCAATCCCTAGTGGCGGCCCGTGGAGGGCAATCAGGAGTCAAGGAGGCGGTTGCTGAAGAGCTAGCACGACTCTTTCCGCCTCCATTTACCTTCCTGGGGCGCTGGCTTTCGAGGCGACATGCACGGGGGAGGGCGAGATTTCGAGATCAGCAGCGAGTGCAGACAAGAATGGAACGGTGCCTCCCCCGAACCCTGTCCCATGTGCCTCTAGTCATGTTGGGGGTAACCATGGCAAAGTGGCTGCAGAAGTACGTACATAGTAACAAGACCTTTTAGGGCCATTTGGCTTCTCCAGAGGCCAACCTTCAATACGAACTGGAGAAAAAAAAGACTACTGTGCCCATTCCCTCGGGATTCAAGTCGCGCTCCCATAAAGCATAGCGCCTCTCGGCCTGGCGCTGATGATGTTATCCAGGCTTTAATTAGTATCGGGGGTCGTGGCGTTTAGGCCTGCGTTCGACCCAAGCCAGAAGCAAAGAAAGAACAGAGTGGGATGGTCCTTCGAGGCGTTGGCGGCCTATCCCTGGACTGATTCGGTGCACGCAAGTCCCTGAATCCTGTTGACGGGGCTTACAGTACTATGTACGGTACTATGGGGGCAAGCCGAAGAGCTACTGCTGGGCTAGGATCTATTCCCTGTAGGTTCCATCGAGTCGGTGCAATGCATGGGTGTTGTGGGCTGGTGCATGTCCAGCTTCCGCCAGGGGTCTGGGCCAATTGTCCGCAAACAGAACGTTCAGACCCTGCATGCTGGCGGCGTCAGCTTCCCACGCCTTCCAGCCTCACGAGAGGTCTACAGGCGCCGTGTGCTGGCTGGCCGGGGGCACTTTAGGCCATCAGACTCGCGCAGACGCAGCCGTGGATGCTAGACTCTAAACGCCGAATGACTGTAATAGGAGGTAGCGCGAATCCAGCCACGTCCTGGAGCTGGTATTCTTGAGACCCGAGTATGTACTATTCACCACCGCAGCAAGTCCGTTGCCAAACTAGCCTGTGCTATGTATGAATCTGCAGTATTGTCTTGTCGGCGTGCGGTTGCAGGACTTTTTGGAGGGGCGTTTCCATCCCCGACCTTTGCACACCACTGCAGCTAGGTCTAAGTACCGCAACATCTAGATTGCCTGCCACGCAATGCTTTCATTGGAGTGGGCTGGTTGTCAGACCGCACCGGCATTTCCAAGCTGTTGCTGAGTATGTATGCTCATTCACGAAGTGCTAAATGCAATGTAACCGTGCATGTCTCGTCCAGACTGCCTCACAGTAAACGAAGCAACCACCTTACCTGATGCCACACGTTCTCCTCCATGGCTGTAATGGAGAGGCCAGAGCAGGCATGCTGGAATGGTGTCGGGGTGAAACGGGCTCCATAGGTTTCCGGAAACGGGGTATTGGGGAGCGATCGGGAGCCGGTGCCCGGGCTTGTCCAATTTCGGGGAAGGCCAAGGTCCAAGGATTGCAACGAGTCGCCCTGCAGTGAATTATCAGCCTGGCCGTGAGACTGGTAGGACTGCTAAGTTACGGTGCCTCTACCATAGTCGTAGTCACGCACCTAGCGAAGGCAAGCCTGTGGCAACCTAAGTTAATAGTCTGGATGGCCGGAGGTTCTGTGCGCCGAAAGACTAGAACGCATCACATGAGTCAGGTACCATTCGGAGCAGTGCAACGCGCGACGGCCTCTCCTGCAAGGCGATATTTCACTGCGAAATTGGGATAGCCACCGCCATGCACCGGTGCGTCATATGACTTTCCTGCGCATGACAATTGTCGAGGAATACTAGCTTGTTGGAAGCGAGGGCAATGGAATTGCACCTACGATCACTTGTAAGTGTCGCCCGGCCATCAAGTTCAACAGCGCCTACAGGACCTCTCGCGCTCTCCCCCAAATGTCGGGTACCCAGACTAACCAGTGCGGCCCGTGGGTGGGTTAGACTTCACTAGAGCGATGTCGAAGTTCCAACTTTAGAATTCACGTCGCCTCTGATGCCGGCAGCAAACGTGGTGACTAGGGTGCCCCCTAGCTAGTCAGCACGAGGCTGTACATACCAAGTTGCGTAGGGACTGGCGTGGCGTGTTCTGATTCAAGGCTGTCCCGGGAATCCGCCATGCGGTGAAGCGAGGCGACCCGGACACCTCACTCAAAACTGGACCCGAATCTTGCCACGGAGTATACGTGCGCAAATGAACTGGGCAGCCCCCTGTGGTGGATACATGGAGAGCATTCGGACGCTGGTGCCACGTCTTTCGATGGTCGTATCGACCGACGGATCATTCGTTCACGAGGTCGCCGACGACTAGGTCTGGTTGAAGCGCCGGTTCTTTGGGCTCTTGGATGAGCCGCCGTGCCACGCTCGGCAGCATCCTCGACCATCGACACTACATAGTAGGTATCCGCCTGGCAGGCCCTTGATCCTGTTTGCTGCCACAGTGCCGCAAAGCGGGAGTGAAAGCGACGTAGTACGGCTTATCTAGGTCGCAGCTAATCGTCACCCGGCTATTTGCATCTCGATATCAAGGAGAGAGATGGGGTCCGCATGAGGGCCAGGATCTAAACCGCCAAGAAGCTAGAATCTCCATGGATTCTTCCTTCATCTATCGAGGACCCGTCCAGCCATCTTGTCGCGGCCGGGCATTACCTTCCGAATTCTACAACATGGAGATCATCACACGCCTTGTATCGTGACAAATTCGGAAGCTGGGAGTTTCGACCACATACTACACCCGGCGCGTTGAAGTTGATACAACCTCGATAGCAGGTCTTTGCGAGGTTGTCTCGTGCCAGTCGACACAGCTTCCCGAATCTGCTGCAGGCCGCCTTGAATGGAGGCACAAGTATAAAACTATTGACGACATACTGCCTTGCGACACCTATCCAATCTGCAAGTATCGGGCATCAGGTTATTTCGCTGTGTCGCTATCCTCCCGAACCTTGAGGCGACTCCCCCCAGGCTACGATGGGTAGGAATATGCAAATTGTTGCCGTTGGGTCAGTCCGCATCAATCACATTTTCCTCTTGCCCAGGGCATAGGTGACAGTGACCCGGCCGTTACGCGTTGCATTTCAGATATGATTGAGCAGCACTGCAAATCATCCACATACAGCATCCGCTGCAACACGCGCCGGCGCCTCTAATCAAAGATCGGATGGAGGCCCATCGCCGAAATCTTGGGCACTCGCACCTTAAAGCTGCCCGGGCTGGTTTACCAACGGTTTCACCCAGGCGCCATCGCATTCTTGGGCGGGACTATGCACAGTGTTTGAAACTCCAAACTGCCCCAGCTCATGCTTGACTTCACCAACCTTGCAAGGCGAGTGCATCCTGTGCATGAACCAAATCTCCTGCGTTCAAGGTTAGGAAACGCCCGGTTGGCCAGGGCCGTGCGATCGGGCAATTTCCGGAAACGGTCTCCAGTCCTTCTATGGAGAATATGGAGAACCATGGAATGCGCAGAGAAGGAATCGAAACCACGCCTTGACGCCCCGGCGCGGTGTCACCGCCCCCTGTACCATAGTATCGTGACTGTCCCCCCTCCTTCCGTTGTGACCAAGGAATGGACCTAACTTAGGTGTGTCATTTCGCAACCAGACGCCCACAGTAGTAGCACTACCGAGATATGCAGCTACCAGGGTCTCTCCCAACTAGCGCTTAAAGTACCTCTCGTCCGTGACATGATATCGTCAACACTTGACATTGCCAAGTAACGGCATCAATGTGGTGGTCAGGGTCTTACCCTCTGCCGTCAACGGCCGAGGCAGAGCATATCGTCAGCTCACCGAGCTGACCACAAGCCATGCACTCTTGCCGCATGTAATCATTTAACTGCCGGTCCTTTTCGTAAAAATCCTGGTGCGATGTCAGCTGTGCAGTAGGGGCACGACGGAGTCTTGTGCAATTGAACTAAGAGCATCGGTCATTCCGCTAGGACTATATCTTGCAGAGTTAATCAACCGCCGACAACTGGCTTACACGGGGTGTCATTGTGACTCTTGCAAATGCATGCCCTTACGACCTTCACACCCGCCTCCTTAAGTTGCTATACTAATCATCAGCAGCCAACATCTGACGATGCAGGAATGAATAAGCACATTGCGGTTTTAATGAATCGGTAGCCGGAAGACCAATAGCGCCCGTCAGTGGATTGCACCCAACATCACTGCTGACTTGAGAAAACTGCGTATAAACCGATGATTGCTGAATTCACTGAGCTAGTCTGCCATGTTCCTCTGCCTAATGCCATCAGCCTCGTGCCTTGCTTGGCTCGAATGGAATGTGGCAGCATTGCTCTGCCCGTGACATGTACATTCAGCCTCATTGCCTTGAAACCAACGGCATGCAATGCTCGGCCCGAAAAGGTACTGCCGGCCTTGACACATGCAGCACCAGCACTGACAGCGGAATTGACAAACACGCTTCCGTCCCGTCCCGTGACGTGAGAGACAAGATGAGCTCGCCTCGGCTGCATCACCAAAACTCGGGGCACGCGAGCTTTGCAAACAACAATTGGGCGGAATTCGGTGATCGAGAGACCAGGCAAATCCCCTGGGCCGTCGGACTGCCCTGCTGGCACGACCTATGACTTGCGCGGCGATATCACAAACTAGGGTGCGTCTCGCTGAAGGCAAGCGGTTGTTGCTTCAATATGGCACCGTTTCATCCACGGTTTTTTTTCCCCCCGGTGCAGCCATAGCTTTGATGCTCATCAGTCGGCGTGCCCTCGAGTCGTTGACGCCAAAACACACCCCAAGAACGCCGTGCTCCATTGTAGAGGATAGGAAAACGCTGAAAATCTGTGGATGCCTGATCGTCTGTCGTAGCCTCCTAGCTCTAGCTGCCAATCAACATGGACACCTGTCGGGATATTAGATACATGATCGAGTGCACCAGAACTAGACGGGGGTTGTTCGGCGTACCGCCATGAAGACACAGCATAAACTTATATAGGGACTCAGCCGCTCCCCTACCCGTGCCGCCTTCCAGAAGATGCCGATGAACCTATTGAACCGTAAGTCAGCTGCGCTGCGAGCGCCTCAGCAGGCGTAGGCGGGTCATGGCACCAACCCTTGCTTGTGGTTGTTCATGAAGGTCGGGGCTATCGCGTGCACGTAGGTGCTTGTGCAGATGGTCAAGAGGATGACGAGGAGGAGGGACTGGAAGTTGAAGAGGGCCGTCTGTTGTCTGGGGTTAGCTCTGCCCGCCTGGACCCGGAGGACGAGGGCGCATCCAATCGTACCATCTTGGTGATATTCCGCAGGCGATGCGATCCGGGTGTAGGTGAGGCCTGCGCGAGCTGTGTCGGCGTCTGCTCTTGGGCGAGTCTCGTGGGGGTAGAGGTTGGTGTCAAGCTCCTGATGTGGAAAGCTGGCGGCCGTTCGGTCGCGATATGCTGTCGTCTGTCCGTAGCCAGGGCTATCTGTAGGGTAAAGGCCAGCTGGCAGAGGCTGGGTTGCAGCTAGGCGGCAGTGACACTGGACTGAGCCTATTCAGCTGAGTGGCCCACTAAACGCGCGGGGCCACGAGCAGTCAACGCGCCGTCGCGCCTATGAAGTGCGCTGGACACACTGGACTGCACCTGAGCTCCCCCAAAGTTGACCTCCAGGCTCAGGTGGTTGCGGCCAAAGCTATTAATAACTTGACATCCTGAACTTGCGCAGCCTTTCGCACATCCAGCTTTCATTCAGCCTTGCGCTTCGATCGACGTTGACCGAGGCTCTCGATCTGATCCTTTCCCACCTCGCACTGTTCTACGACGACAGCTTTGCGCTCCGCGACCTACTGATAGGAGTCGCGACCGAGTCCAGCTTCTCAGTATCTCAGTATCTCAGTTCCGCCGCCATCGACTTTGATCTCTGCATCCACCTCGTTCTCGCAGCCCAGCTTGTCTTTATCATCATGGAGCCTCGTGCGCGCGCCGGCAAGAATGTGGGCAAGGAAACCTTCCAGACGAAAGATCGTATGCTGCTCCCGCCTTGCCGTCTGGCCTGATGACTCGATTGCGCCTGCTAACTTGCACGTCCCAGTTGCCGCCCTTATGTATGCCTACGGCGATGTCCCCAACCCCCTTCCAGAGTCTGTCCGCGTTATGGACGACATCCTCACACAGTTCCTCGAGGGCATCTGCTTCGAGGCCACACGCCACGCCACTGTCGCCGGCCGCCAGAAGCTCAAGTTCGAGGACTTTGAGTTCTCTCTACGTCGCCAGCCCGAATATCTTGGTAAGATCAAGACCATGATCGACAAGCGCAAGGAGATCACTAGGATGCGCAAGGCCTTCCAGCCCGACGATGATGCCGTGGTCAACAGCCATGGCGCAGAAGACGACGGCGGCCCCGGTGGTCCCGGTGGGAAGAAGCGGCCGGCCCCAACTACGGAGCACGAGGAACTACTTGACGATGACGACGATGACCCTGATATTGTCGAGGCCATCCGGAATCAGAACAAGAAGAGGAAGGTCGAACGCTAGAGCCCTCCCTCCTCCACTACTTCATATTCTATTCCCGCAGAGCCTCGGCTGCACCAGCCCACCGTCACTCCCGTACCGCAGAAGCCTACGATTGTTGGACAACAGAAAGGTGCTTTCGCGTGTGACTGGTGTGGACGACACCTCACCCGCAGAGATGGCCTCAAAAGGCACCAATCTAGCTGTCGTATGAGACAGTAATATCCTGTGAGCTCTACGATGGGACCTTTTATAGCCACGAGGCAGCAGTCCCCAGTTCGCAGCAGGACAGACACATTCCGAACCGCAACCAGACAGGCAGTTTTCAACAGCTCAACTGATTCATCATGCTAGCAGAAAGCATGTGCTACTGCAGAAACACCGGCACTGATCGTCGGCGTTGGGTGCGGGGTTTCTGGTCGGGTGTCTCAGGAACTCAAATCATCGTGAGAGTGCATTCCGAGTATGACTTCAAGCCATCCGGATACGTATATGCATAAGGCCTCAGAGATGGAATGGCTGCTCAAGGTCGGTCGTAAGAGGCTGGCTAATACGCGCCCCACGGGGCAGCTTCTACCATTCTTTGAAGTCGTGCGAAGCGCAGCTCTACTGCGCCAACGCAGTCGTGCACTTATACAGTACTCCTCCATAGTGAATGGATGTCTTCAGGTCTCTATTGTACAAGACTAGTGAAGTGACCCCAGCTCTCCCCGGATATAGGGGGAAATAGGGCTGGATTGTATGGGGCACGCGGGGTAGATCCCCGATTCGCTGCCTTTATACGCCGCGATATCGGTGCATCCAACAACTACATGCACGGACTAGGCCTGGACCAGGTCCGCGGCCTATCAGGAACGTGTCTGTTGTCAATTGCCTCCAAACGACTCACTTGGTCCGGCTGTGGTGACTACCAGTAACCCCCCAGCAGCGCCTGCATCGGCCTCGAAGCACCAACAGACCTATCACAGTTTTGTCTGGAATGCAGCATCTCCACGATGGGCCCCAAGGGTGGTCTCGATGAGGCGCTCCTAGGAGGAAGTTCGCCGAGTTGTTAGCCCTCTCCTTCCGGCTTCCATGGAACTCAAGGTTTGGCTCTCTTTCTTTCCACCTAACCTCTTATCACCTACCACGTCTACCATCAGTATCATCGTCTTGGTCTGATAACTCCATTCTTGTCTCTCATACTTCTGGGGGAGCTTCCAGACTGTTGGGTTTCGAGGAGTACTGCTGTTATAGTCATCTTAGACAAAGAGAACCCTTCCCAAGCTGTCCCAACAGTTGACCCTGATTTTTGGATCTGTGTGCATTTGTTCGTGATGATCCATAGTCACCATGTCGGATCTTGATGCATCTCAGGCTCCCCAACCCAAAAGAAGTCGATCTGTGTCTGAACATGCTGTGTTGAATACATACCCTCAAGTCCTCGATAGCACAGACAAAGGTGCGAAGGCAGGCTCGGCTGAGCCTGGCCTGCTAGATCCCTCTACCATCAGACGGTTCTCGATGAGCCCCTTCTCCGAAGATGGACGGCTTGCATCATCCACTTCACTCAGGGGCTCATACCTAGCGCCGCCACGGTCCTCAGCTCTACGAGAGGGCTTCAGCGTCAAGCCGTTCTGCCAGTCGATGTGGCAGAGGAACGGGGGCCCCATCCTCATCATTCTGGCCCAGTTCTTCGGCGCCCTTATGAACCTTTCGGCCCGGTTCCTCGAGGTTGAGGACGGCTTACATCCGATGCAGATCCTCGGCGCACGCATGACGGCCACGATCATGTGCTGTTTCGCGTATATGTGGTTCAGGGATGTTCCATCGGCGCCGTGGGGGCCTCCTGAGATTCGATGGTTGCTCATGCTTCGGGCCATGGCCGGATTTGTCGGTCTCTATGGCATGTGGTCCTCCATCGTCTACCTGCCTCTCGCCGAGGCCACAGTCATCTCGTTCCTGGCTCCCAACGTCGCCGGCTACTTGTGCCGTATCCTGTTGAAGGAGCCGTTCACTCGCAAGGAACAAATTGCGAGTTACATCGCCCTCGGTGGCGTTATACTGATCACACGGCCTGTCTCCCTCTTCACATCTGCACCCGATGCCCCCAGCACAGGGATCGAGACGGCGGCGAACGGCACCGCGAGCACCACGGCCGGGACCGGCATGGACTACGTGCCGACGACGGCGCAGCGCCTCAGCGGCATCGGCATGGGGCTGCTCGGCGTGGTGGGCGCGGCCATCACCATCACGGTGCTGCGGACGATCGGGCCGCGCGCGCACCCGCTCATCAGCGTCAACTACTTCAGCACCTTCTGCAGCGGCGTGTCGCTGCTGGCCATGGCGCTGGGCCCGCCGCTCGACTACGACCAGCCGCGCCTGCAGTTCGCGCTGCCCGCGTCGCCACGCCAGTGCCTCCTGCTCGCCGCCGTCGGCGTCTGCGGCTTCGCCACTCAGTTCCTGCTGACCGCGGGCCTCGCCCGCGAGCGCAGCAACCGCGCCACCGGCATGATCTACACGGCCGTCCTCTTCGCCGCGGCCTTTGACCGCCTCGTCTTCGGCCAGTCCATGGGCTGGCTCAGCGTCGCCGGCTGCGGCCTCGTGGTCGGCAGTGCGCTCTGGGTCGCCCTTGTCAAGGGGACTCCCGCCGAGGAGGAGGCCAGGAAGAGCGGCGGCGCTGCTGGTGTCGCGGATCTTGAAGCCAGGGGGGCTGCAGGGGTTGTGGGTAATGCTGGGGGTGAGGATATACCCATGTTGGCGGACGTAGATGGCAGTACAGATGGAGAGTCGCAGGGAGATGATGTGCTTGAGATGGATGGGATAGACTCGTGGAGGGATTAAAGTAGTCATATATAGGGATAGATTGCATGTGAGGTCCATTCAACTGTCAAAAAAGCACGTTGTGGATTCTCATAGATGCTAAATATATACCAAGATCATTTATGCCATTGCGATACTAGATTCAAGCTGCCCCCTCATTGGGGATAGTGGGTTGCCACATAACAATATATATCCAGCTTGATGCTATACGCTGGCAGGGAAGTTGGACGATCTACGCACAAGTAATCTCGTAATTGTGGTGATGATGGCACCCGAGCAGACGCTATTGGCAAGCTTGAATGTTGGATGTACTGGTCGTTGCTAATTTTCTATTTGACCTCGAGCACGAAAGCATAAACCGACGATAAAGGAGACTTGCACCATGTAGTCCCACGGATTGCTCGCTCGTTGGATTCCACCGCTAAACCTCGATCAGACTATACATTAATGTGCCTAGAATGCTTGCAACACAAAAGGGACTCTCAAGAAACATTACAAGAGAGTCTGTGGGTTGCTCTCCAACCTCGGGCAGAAGAAGTCTGTGCCCAGCCACAAAGACAAGCTAGAGGAAGACTCAGACGAGGCGCGAAGTTTCCAAGGAAATGTCTTGGATCGGCTCTTGGACAGTCCATAGTCGCAAGCCAACGTAGCCTACGTACGACGTCCGCTTTGGAAGCACAATCAATATGTTGGCTGGCTTGTTGTGGCTTTGAAAGATTGGATGCCAACAGCACAGCATAACTTGGAGCAGGGCTGCGTGTTACTTAGTTCCACTTGGTAGGGAAGTGGGGGCAATCAGCCTCCAGCCTCCAGCCTCCAGCCTGCAGGTTAAACTTGCACTTTACGCGTCGACGCGTCCGGATTTGGCGAGCGCGTCGCCCAGTGAACCGCTCCGTCCCACTTGGCTTGGACCGCGGAGCACAACTTTAGCCTTCCCCAGATGTCAAGGCCGCACTCCGATCGATCTCTAAGACCTGCCCGCCAACAGCAGCTGCGACGAAGTCGAATACCTGTGCCAACGAGTCCGTGTCGCAAGATGAAGGCTTTGCGTAACTGATGCCGAATCCGGGACGAAACTGGGTTGGAGCCGCTGGAATGGAGAGAGTACGGCACCCACGAATGCACCTGGGCGAGGAACCAGTCTACTGCGCCGCCTACGACGACAACGAAGAAGTCCTTTACCTGGGCGCCGACCAAGAGCTCGATCAGGCAGCAAGAGTTGCCAAGCGTCTGCGCTATGAAGAACAAGGCCTGCGATACCTAAGGGGCCAACCCCTAAGGCTGCTCTCAGCCTCGCTGCAGGGGCCCTTCGACAGAGCCTCAGGCTGGCATAACCCTTGGCTGCCGAAGGCACCAAAGGCAACAGACACCGCTGCGGCTCTTCCGCTACCATTCACCAAGACTATACCCCCGATCGACCCGATAATGCGGCAAGAGCTGGCAGAGCCTGTGGCGCAGGAACATGATACCCCAGCAACTAGGGATTCTCTGCGGTGTCATCTTCCCAGCCCAGACAGCCAGCGCGAGCTCGAACTTGCAGTCGGCAATCCATTGGACGTAGAGAAACGATCACGCATACGAGAATGGGCCACCAATGTGGCGCCTGGCTTCCAACGGGATGCGTTCTGGGTTCCTGAGGATCGGGGGACTGACCCGTCTGAAGAAGACTTGCCAGCAAAGAGGCCGGCCGGGGAGCAATGGCTGAGAAGAAAGCTGAACAAGCGAAGGAAGACCGACATGGCGGCGTCGTTCCCATCGGGCTCAACTCCGACACCAGCTCCCATGTTCAGACAGGTGACGAAGCCTGTATCGGTCCATGCGAGAGACAAGCTACGTGCCAGCTCAGCAGGCATCCACCGCAGCTTTGCCGATACCACACCGTCTTCGGATTCTGATCGCAGAGCCACTGGTCTGCTGGAAAAGCGAACTTCGAGTGCTAGGATCGGAGAAAACATGCCATCACAAACTGGGACTTTATCCAAGGGTAAGGTCGCTGTCAAAGCGAGCGCCTTTGGCCGAAGCACCGGCAAGAAACACGTTGCGGCTCCTGCTTCCTTGGCCTCCACTGAAGATTCCGAGCAACAAGGTGCTACTCCAGGTCAGGCAAACTCACAGTCTGCCCCTGTTGCGGTCCCGCTGGCATTGGACAGGAACGTTGAGAAGGCGCCCACTATAGCGGAAGTTTCAAAGGAACAAAGGCCTGCAAGATTAGATATTGCAAGGGTCCAGGTGTCAGAGCAAGAACTTGCTACGAGTTTCGAGAGCCAAGTAGACCAAAGCTTCCACTATAAGACTCGCCCGGCTAGGCTTGGAAACTCAACATCAAAAGCGCCGAGTGACGACAAGACCACCAACACTTCGCAGCTTACCCAGACCGCTACTCCCGAATCAGAAGACCATTGTGCTATGGTTGCAGCGCAACTCGGTCAGACGGCCGATGCAGTTCAAGACGACACTGACATCGTGGATTATTATGTCGATGATGCACCAGCAAATCTGCCATCGAATCAATGTGCACATGGCTGTGAGGAGGACCAATCTGTCTCAACACGTAGCGATGAGGTTGAGCAAGATAAGGATGAGGAGGTGCGGCATGAAAGGGACGCTGGAGGAGAACAAGCCAAGCCACAAGAAACTGCCCAACGCCATGAACCTGACAATCATGTTACGACGGAAGCATCACCCCCAGCTACGGCCGATCAACTGATGATTTCTTTCCCAGAGGATATGACTTTGGTGGAGAAGAGCATGCAAGCGAACCGTCTGGACGCAAATGCAGGCATCAATGGAAATCCAGTCAAGGATGCCTGCGATCTCCAAGACCAAGGTGAGGTATCGGATCGTCCCCTGATCCAGGATCAGGCTTTCCAAGGGACAGTGTTCGACGAAGGCCCCACCTTGGTTGAGAACTCTATGGACATGGACGCAAGCACGCTGTCGCGAATGGACCAAGTACCTGCGAGGCTGGAGACCCTCAAGTTCCCCTCCCAACCGCCTGAAAGATTCGAGGCCGTTAAATATCCTGTTTTCTTATCAGATGGGCACGAAGCCAACATTATCCCAACAGAAGTCGAAAGAGAAGATCTAGCCGAACCCAGCTCGTCTGGTGCTTCACTCGCTGAGATTGCTGAGCAGGCTTTTTCTCTTGCCGTGTCAAACAGCCAATCTACATCTGCTGAGCCGGACGAGGCACAACACCAAGATGCCCAGGCAGACCAGGAAGATGAGACGGCCGCCCGCACTGATATTACCAACGTGGATCATCTTTCAGACACAGAGAAACCAGCAGTCAGGAAACCACTGTTGCTGGTGCGCAAATCAAAACCTACAATCATTGTTGAAGAGCTTTCTGAGGAGGAGTCCGAGGAGAAGCCTCAGACAACTACTATTCAAGCTGAACGAGCTCCTAGTAATGACGAGTCTGGAAGTAGGGTTTACAATTCTCTCGAGCCGCAAAGTCCTTGGGCTCCGGATCATCCACCTCGTTGCAATTATCGTGCTACTGAAGGAATTAAAGTCGAACACGTTGAGGAAGAGACATGGTCGCCATGCCCACGCCCAATCAGTGTTGCAGACTCGCCAGGTCTGGGAGTGGAACAACCGGAGCTTCGTTCCTCACAACAGAGTCCTTGGACGAACGATATCTCTGAACCCATGGAGAACGTTGCGGAACTCTCGAGAGCCCTGCAATCTATAGAGGCTCCTTCAACTATCCAACAATTGTCGTATCGACGGTCTAGCTCACGTGGCGATGCGAATGAGCAGCGAGAGCCATCCACTCCGTCGCAGCCTGAAGCTCGAGCGCCTACTCCTGATGCTGACTTGTCCATCAAATCTTTTGCAAAGTTTAACACACCGTCGCCAAAGCGCAAGCATCGCATTACAAAGCATTCTCGTTACTCAAGCGGCCGGCTGCCCAGTACACAGTCATTGGCGGATGCAACAAATATCAATCCGTGGAGTAGTGTACGATCTAGTATACGCTCTAGTGCGCGGTCGAGCCGCAGGAGCCTCCGAGTCTCCTTTGCTCCGCTTCCAGGTGAAGAAACTGAAGAAGTCGCGGAGGGTATCCAACCTATCGACAGTCTTGCTGCAACGGCCAGGGTAGCCTCACCGCCTCCACCGCCGTCTGCCTTGGCCGGGGATGAAGATGTCGATGACCATTTCCAGAGTCACTTCAATACGATGAAACGTCGTTTGAGCGAAGCACCTAAGCTTCGTCTTCAGCCTCGCTTGCTGCCAAGCGAGTCGCAGCAGAAGCCTATGAGCCCTGGAGTCGGTTTGATGGCGGAAGCTTTCAGAGAAGCAGACCTACGCCAGGCTTTGAGAAGCTCCCCTGAGATTGCAGTCGACGACGACATGGAGGACGTGGAAAACGAGGTCGACTTGGCTGCCCAGTCGCCGTGGAGGGGCGAGAGTCAAGGAATCGACGATGTTGCGGCCGTGCTGCAGAACCTGGATGATTTTCTTAACCCACGCTGGGATGTCGAGACGGAGGTGGAAAAGGTACGGGCGGCTGATGGCATAGAGAATCAGCCGCACCAGCGTAGCTCAGGGCTATTTGGAGGTAGCGTCTGGGATATATTTTGAAGTGGAGGTGTTAAGACGGTTGGCTCGAGCTGTTGTTTTTTGGGGGCGTAAGGGGACGTCATTTTGATACCCAGTCTTCGGTTCACATGCATATGGCAAGGAGTTTTCAGAACGGTGTATGGGAAATGCAGGTCGGACTTCTGAGGAAAGAGCAGGCACCAGTAGTTCGAGTACCGTCAGTATGATATACAAGCTATTCCACAGTAACGGGAGTATGATTATAATCGACAATCATTATTAGTGTCTTCGGCAACGGTCCAACTGACTACTTGAATCAATTTGTTCCTATTAGCATAGGCCTTCTAATTTTGAAGTACGTTGGATTTTGGGGGCCCAGGGTTTGTATTGCCATTGAACAATGTATTGTCCTGAACTACGACATTGGGTGTGTTGATTCGTGGCGCGTTCTCCCCCGACCCACGATGCCATTTTTTGGCAATGAGGTCGTCTACGCATTCATGGCCACAATGCCATTGTTGTATTTCTGCCGCACAAAGAGGCTTTTGTCAATAACTTCATGTGGAACCGGTGACAAGGAGAGACGAACCCAGAGTATACTAAGTCACCGCACGGAGGCGGGCAGAACAGAGAGAGTGTATCCCCAACAAGAACGAGGCGTACCTAACACTGTCTTGGTGGTGACATACCGTGCATATATGAAGCTCCTTGCGAGCGCTTGCGTATAAATATGTGACCATGGCCTCCCCTGGACTGAGTTGAGAAAGCTGTCTTTCCATTCGCAAGCTGACAGTTACAGAAACACAATGTCTTCAACCACCAACGCCGACGCTACCACGAAGAAGACTTTCCCGAAGGAAGTCGTCACCGAGACCGAGGACTTCATACAAGACATTTTGGAAATACTGGACGAGGTCGCTGTACCCGTCGAATCCCAGTTCGAAGCCTACCGAGCCATAGGGCACATTGTCTTCGTATTTGCCAAGAAAGCAACGGCTCTCGTGGGAGTAGATACCACCGACTGGTTTGACGAAAATGGAGTTGCTCAATCTCGGGCCTACCGCGACTCATTCGAGAAGAACGGTGTCTCAGAGGACGCCATGGATGATGTGTGCCACTTCGAGACAAGCTTTCGCGAGTTGTGGGAGGAGGTAAGTGCTGAGACTCAGGATGCTCTGTTCGATCTGTGGCATGAGTTCTGGTATAAACTGCGCGAGATTGACACCGAGGCCATGGCCAGAGGTTAGCCCTTGAACGAGGAAATACCCAGACGCCGCAATCGTGGACCAATCCGCAGGCGTGGTCGTTGTGTGGAGCTCTTTGATCATACAGATGGTTCTCCCTTATGTAAGTGATACCTTTTGGTAGAGCGGGCATGGATGGCTGTACCAGCTATATGTAGATAAGGAGACGAACTAGTTGCGTGGTATATACCCTTTGGTGGGTGCCGCGGATAGCTGGATCCTGCATATTTAATACATCACACACCGCACCCCATAAGAATCGCATTGATAAGCGCTAGAATATATGTGCATGACTTTCAAAAATGAAAAACGATAGGCTGATCAATGCAGCAAATCGCGTATCATTGAACTCTATAGTAATCAAACTCCAAAAGTCATGCAAGACGCATATCCGAGCAGCTTCACTAAGAGTGCGCAAGCGACCACCTCTAACAGCTCCAGCCTTTCGTATATGCGAAGATTTAAGTTTACCATTAGCAGCTGGGCTGTCCCAGGGAGTTGTTGTTATCGGTATTGACGTCAAGGGTGATATCGCTGTGGCCACCCTTGGCATCGTTGAGCTTGCCCGAGAAAACGCCGTCCTTGAGGTCGGGGAGGGCTGCACCCCAGTCGTTGTTGAGCATCTTGTCACGGATCTCGGTCGAGGGAAATCCCAGGTAGCTCACGAGATCACCGAACTATAATCACGGTCATGGTCAGTTATACAATAGCCCTTCCCGTTGGCATTCAACCATGCTAAACATGGTTGAAGAAAAAGGGGACGCTGGCGCGACTTACAAACCAAGCCCCGTTGTGGTTCTCGACCTTGTCGTCGGCCTCGTTCGCAAACCGAAAGTCGTGCGTCAACCCGCCGTCCTGGTGGTAGACCATCTTTGGGTGCGTGTCCTGGAAACGGACGTCCTTGCCTGCCTTGACTTCCCAACCCTTGTGCTGGGAGGCGGCAACATACGCCGGCATGCTCTCGCCGTCCTTGACCCAGACAACGATGTGTTCCCAGTCGTTCTTGTGGCCCACGCCGCACGAGCCGTCTACTGACTGGTCCTTCTCAAAGTAGTAGCCTGCAAGAGAATCAGGGGTCAGCATGTCTTGTCAAAGGCATATGCCACTTGAGACAATGTAGGAAATAAACCAAGAGAAGCTGAACTTTGGGGGTCGCATACCATACAAATAAGCGCACCAGCCGTTGTTACACCGCGCGCGTGAGTACACGTTATTGTTGTCCAGGTCCGACTTGTCGCGGCAGTGGCCGTTCTTGGCGCCGCCGCACTTGAGCCCGCCGTTGAGGTTGCCGTTGGCGTCGATGGCCGGGGTGTTGTAGCATCCGTCTTTGTCAAAGTCCATGGCTGTACGCATGTTAATGAACAGTTCCACTGGAACCAGTTTGGGCTCGCGTACCAGGTTGCCACTTCTTGTCCGCGTCCGGAGCGCAGGCTCGGATCTTCGACGGAGGGTCACGCTTGAAGATTTCGGCGATGGCATCTGGCATGGCGACTGCGTTGGCCGCCGGCACAAGAGCGGCTGCCAAGAGAAGCAGCTTCTTGGGTGATATGACTTGGAGGGAAGACATCGTGAAAGACTATGGTAAAAAGATGGCTCCTTTCGTCTTGTCGAGGGAGGATTTATCTAGATAGGGGTTTCTGCTATGCTGTAGTTGAATTGGAATGGTCGAGTTTCGAAAGCCCAAAGCGAAGCTAACTTGCCACTTTATATTATTGTCCTCTCATCATGAAAGCTATGCAAAATATAGGAATTGCTTTAAATAGAATGTAGCACATAGCCAGATGAGTGACACTCACCAAGATGTGATTACACTGCTGAAAGTTGACCCCAAGGCTTTCCTGCTTGGTGGGATCATCCGTGTGCACTACTCATCTAACTGCGTCATAGGAGGCTCCTGCCATATTGTCCATCGCTGGCGGAGATTCACGATACCATCTCAGGATTTTTCTCTTCATCTAGACGTCATCCTGCTAACCCGGCTCTTGCGCCATTGCTATTGTAGAGCTCACCGAGCAGATGAAGCGTAAAATAAACTTAATCCTACGCAGATCTCCCCAGGTAACTATTTGGTCAGGCCCAACAGCTTGGCGCATCAGCTTGTCTCGTTTCCTCTTTCCGGAAGTATCTCGCGACTAGAAGCCAATCATCGGGCCACGAGGGTGTTCATATTGCTCGTATTAGCGTACTGCAAGAGAGTGCATTAATTAATTTCTTCCCTTGTCATTTCATATATAGAAAGCGTTGTGAAGGTTGCCGTACCAGGAATCCCGGATGGGGCCGACGTGCATTGCGGCGCAGCCATTCCTTCGCAGATCTGCGTATGCAGTCGATAGAACACTTGGCGATCTCGCCTCTTGGCCGCCAAACTTCATGCAGCGACAGAGTCGCCATTCACGAAGACGTATTAGAAAACCGGACACAGCGGAATCGACTAGCGGCCACACCACACACTGCAACCTACATTTCGCTGTGTCCGGTTTTTTAATACGTCTGCCTGCATCCTGGGTTCAAGCTTTTTTGATCCTTCTGAAGTACCCTGTAAAGAAATGCTTGATCGAACGATATGGCTCACAAAAAGGGAGTGGTCTCAGTTTTACACAGCTGCCAAGCCCGTACCTGGGGCCCAGCGTGGCTAGCTGACTATAAGGCAGCCAATGAGCGCTGCAGCATCGCGCACCAGACGAAGATCATTCCTACACAGTAGTCAAATGTCTTAGAGATATTACTGATCACTCCGACGCCGATCAGAGTAGCACCTTGTTCGTCTGTTTTCCCATTGTACATTCCCCTCTAATCTCCCGTAGCCTCTCCATCTGCTGCGGTGAGCTCTATTGAGCACAGGATTGAGCAACCGCATCACGGATTAGATCACAGCCTTGAGCGAAGACCATGATTCTAAAGAAGGCGACATGCATGAAGCTACGCGTTGTAGGATTTCGGTCCATTGCGAAATTACCAGCCAGTAGCAGCTATTGGCTGTTCGTCGAGCGAGGCTGGAACAGCCTGCATGCAATTACAGCCCCTGGTATCCTCACCGGATCATTGTGTTGTCATGGCGCTGTTCGGTACAGCGGGCCTGTAGACTCAGTTCCCAGCAAGGCTTCAAGCCCGGAGAAACCAGACGTGACCTAAACCTTGAGTCAGTTTTGATCCTTCCGATCTAGCCGTATAACGTACCATGGAATCAAACTGGCCCCAACTCGTGATATCTGCCAACGAGCTGCTGGGGCTCGCGTTCCAGTTGATAAAGTCTCCTGGGATTGCCAAGTCCGGATATTGCACAGCGGGTTCTGCCATCTCTCCACCTATGGCGACAGTTGGTAGTGGTTGAGACGTTACAGGAGGTGAGTGTTCTCTCATTGACTGAGGATCGAAGACCACAGGGACTTCAAGACCGGTGGTCTGTCTCCAGGCCTCTCTTCTCAGCTCCTCCAGCACGAGACAGTATCTTTGTGTAAGCGAGCCTTTGGCTGCAACGCTTAAGATCTGGGTCTGGCAAGTGTCTGCAGCCTCTAGATATTTTTGGTACACATCCGGAGGTGAAGACTTCTGTTGAATGACATACACGTAAAGGACTACCACTGCTGAAAAGCTGAAATAGATTGTAAACTGTGAAGTTTCAAGTCAGCATCTGCCATGGCGGAAACGGTCCCTCTACTGCTTACCCAGAAGGCACGAGATACCTGGTCGGCCTGGAACAAATTGTCGAACGACTCGACCATATTCAATGCGGCATTGAGGCAGTCTTGGACACAGGTATCTATCTCCGCCTTATGTAAATTTTCTGTTGGCAAAGTTCCAGAATGCTGTAACCGTGCAAAGTTGCTCAGAAGAAAGGGTCGATTAGTCAAAATCATGGCATGCCAGTATGCATGATTCAAAACGTTTCTCTGGCGTTGGTAAATGGGCAGGAGCAAAGACGCATTAATGCCTTTAGCATCTAGGAAATGAGACAGCTCATCTCGCCAGTGTTTCAACGAATTGGTATGCTGAGCAGTCAGTGTAATCCGGGTCGAAACCGAGAGCGGACGTATCGAGTAGAGGTCTCGAAGAATCATGCTGACAATCCGAGAAATCCTGCATCCGTCAGTTCCTCTGCATACACTGATAATGGGAATGCAACGAACTTCACATGAGCCACGCAGGCCATCATTAGAGATTGTGTCCTGTTGGCACGGTGAGCCAGGTTGTTTTCTCCGACCAGGTCCGAATCTTCGATGACAGATGGGAGCTCCTGGTCTATATCATCGTCGTGCAATGTTCTAGGTCTGCCGAGGACTGCACTGAGGTAGTTGTCTAAAGAATATGCACACCAGAATGTTCGACGACGGCACTCAATCTCCACGCGGTTGTGTTCGCTTGTAGGATGTGCTCGACGATTACGATTCAAGCCGATGGCAAGAGCCAGGTGGGCAGTAGTGCCAAAGAGACTCCAGCAATGATTGATCCGCGACTGCATTAGGAGATAGAAACATTGTGCAAGACGGACTTGAACACTGGTCAGCCGGACTGACCCACGTTCCTTGGACAGCTGTTGCTCTGCCGCATTGAAAAACTGGGCACTTTCGGATGTTGCCCTCTCTTGCTCCTCCGCTGCAGAAGTCTGAGCCCCGAAGAAGGAGCTTGAATGATCATATGTGTACGCTGTCGGGTTGGACTCTGGCATATACTCTCGAACCTGGGCAAAAACCATGAAGAGTGCAGCTTTTCGGACTGGAGCGTCTTCCTTGTGGCTCATGCTACCCTTGGTGGCAAAGAACTCATCCAGCCAGCATTGCAAAGTCGGCCGATGGAGGAATCTATGGGTTGCTACGGCAAAGTCAAAGTATCGGTCTAGTAGCCTCTGAGCTTCATCGCGTGAGAGCAACACGCAGAAGGCAGGGTCAGACTCTGGCAATGGAGCGTCCCCAAAGGTGAAAATGGACGAGGCTTGGGAGAATGAGACTGCCTGGTGGAAACGCTTTTGGACCCGAAGCAGGAATGACACTCCCGAGGCTGGGCCAACATAATGCCCTTGGAGGTCTGTCTGACCAGGCTCTGGAGAAACTCGCAGCGATGGCGCAATTGGAGGGTTCTCGATGGATGCCGGATCAAGACTCGAGCTCAGGTGACGGCCTTGATGTTCCTGAGACCCATGGGACAAGCCGTCAGCACCGAGTGTCGTTGGAACCCCCTTATCCACGCGGGCAGCGCTTACCGGCTGATCAATATGTGATGTATTTGTTCGACCAAGTGTGTTCGCCGTACAAGTGCTGTCCGTGGTGGATGGGCCGGTTGCAACTGGGTACGGTGGCCGGCCCCTTGTGTATGATGCATCATATGTGCAGCGGGTTGCAGCCTCAGTACAATGCTCGCAAGGGTGTGTTCCGTTGCATCTGACTTTGCGCCTATGCTGGTGTGTTAGCCTCACACTACCATGCGAGGCTCAGCAAGCCTCAATTTGTTTGACAAGATATCCCCGGGTCGGTGCTCACCTCTTGCAACGGTCACATGCTCGAGTGACACGGCAACGCTCACTACCTCGTCTTCTCTTGCGGATTGGTCCAGTCGTGGGTTGGAACCCAGGGGTTCCGGAGGGCTTTTCCGAACCGGCCATACTGAGCCAACGAGAAGACGTTTCGTTCTCAACGCCGACTCCGTTCAACTGTATTGCCGTCACCCTCCCCTTGATCAGACATCCGCAATTCCGAGAGAATGGATCGTCGACTTCCTCGATGGCCAGGTAGATAGCGTCCAAGGAGAGTTGTCGGAAAACACGTTCCCATTGCGAGTCAAGCACTCAAAGGCTAAGGGATCCCATCATAGTGGAGAACTGGCGGATGTTTATCCGCCACCATTGACTAGTATAAACGCGGGGAAGTGGAGAATCCCAGTGCAACCGACTGGGCATGCCCAGACGCTAACTACTGTACGCATAACATGTAATATTTCTACGACGAGAAAGAAGCATCGCGTTATGAGAACCCACGATAACACCTGAGTGCAACTAGTCAACAGCTGAATGAATATACCTCAAGCCAACCATTGAGTCTTCCACCATGCTACCATTTTTTGTACTAGGTCGCTTTGAATCAGATCGAAGCCGGCCTTGACAGTCTCGCTTGCTCTTTCCGTCAGGTGCGTTTCGAATACAAGGCCCTCGCGCCCAGGGTTGTCGTTATCGTATTTGCCGGTGAAGAAGTCGAGCAGCTTGATGGTGGGATTCTTCACGGGGTCTGGATCTGACTTGCGGAGACGATCAATCCACTCGCGCTTTGATACGATCTCGAAATCGATCCCAGCGGATCTCAGTGCTGGGAGAAGCTCTCGAGTCCAGTGGAAAAGTCTCCTGTTCTGCACCTGATATACCGTCGAAAAATCTGAGTTGTGTGCCCGGGCATCCCTGTTGTCGTTGAGGACGCCCGATAATTCAAGGCAGGCCTTTGCCATCTCATCTACAGGCATCCAGGATGGTGTCTGATGTTCTTTCGTCAGTGACGACCTAATTTATATATCAGCGAGCTGTTGGTTACTTACCTCTTCCAGAGCTGGCAACGCTTTGAGAATCTGTGCACTACGAATCATGAGAGGTATGGCCTCAGTGAGGTTCCAAATGCCATTGTCGGTATCGCCAATTATCTGACCCAAGCGAAGTACTTTTGCTGTCATCCCCGTCTTCTCAACTGCTGCCTTGACGATGTGTTCTGTCACATACTTCGACCTCGCATAGCCCATGGGTTGTGCGTGAGTGGGATTGGCGACGTAGGTCTCTTTTACGCGAGCTGGGATGGGCGTGCCTCCGGCAGCCGATATAGACGAACAGAAATAGAACCGTGCAGGAGTAGTTGTGCCTGTGCCGAGACACAAGTTCAGTAGGTTATATGTTCCTCGAATATGGTGTGATTCAAAACTGCGAACACCCATGTTGAAGTTCACTGCCCAAGCTGAGTGTATGACACAAGTAAGCGTTCTCCGTAGCTCGTCTAGGTCTCGGGTTGATAGCCCTAATGTCGCTTGGCTCAGGTCAGAAGGAAGGCAGATAACCTTGGATAACTCTGCAGCTGATAGTCTTGGAAGGCATTTCGCCTCCAGAGTGGATAGCACCCGCTTCATTGCCTCTTCGGGTGATGAAGCCCTCACCAGACAGTAGATTCTCTGGACTGTCGGAAGGCGCACAGCTTGGCTAAGCATATGTGCTCCCAAAGATCCCGTCGTGCCGGTGATGATCTACCATGGTTCGATTAGTTATGCTCGTGGTATGAATGGCTGGCCGAGACTTACAAGCGATTCCTGAGAAATCACATGCTTCCCTGGGACTCTCTCAGAGAAGTCTGAGTATTTCTCGATCAAATTTGCCATGAGATCCTCTTCAGTCTCTTCCAAAACACCGGTATTTGTTCTCAATGAGTAGAGATGTGCCGCCAAAAGATTGACAGAGGGGTATTCAAATACCACATTCTGACCAAGAACATGTCCATCAAGATTGATCTCTCTCATGATCTGGGCTCGAGCCGTGATAGCTTGCAAACTATCCACGCCAGTCTCAAAGAAATCAGTCGACGAAGAGAGACCCCCTCCGCCCAGTCTATCGGAGAAGAGTTTCAAGAGATACTCCTCAAGCTCGTCTATCCCAAGCACAAGCTCTCCTTGGCCCTCGCCCTTGAACGGGGACTCAAAAAGCTCGTATACTTGATCAATAATGTGAGCAAAATCTCGATAGAAGCGAGCCCGGATTACTGTGCCTTTATCTGTACGAGGATACGGTGTCCCAATGTCGGCAATATAGACCATTTCTGGCGTGATTCGTCCGAATGCTTCAGCTCTGGCGTTGGCGGCATTTATGTCCGATGTGAGTCTTTCAAGAAGCTCTGTCTTGTTAATACCCCTAGCCTTTTGACTTGGAATGATAATCAGTCCAGGGACTGCTTTCCCCACGCCGAAAACCACGGCCTCCTGGACTAGCTCATTCTGTCGGATGTAGTGTTCATACGGAATTGGCAGTACTTTCTCGCCGTTGACAAGGGTAACGCGGTCGTCTAGACGCGAGATGTACTTCCAAGCATCTGGAATTGTTGGATGAGGGACAAAGATGTCCCTTGTATGATATGAATTCGGCGGGTCGTTCGAATTAGACAAGACTTTCGACGGTAACCCGTCCAAAACCACGCATTCAAAAGTGCCATCTCCAATGGGGAACATTCGAACGTGATCCTTGGCGGAAGCCAGGGGTCGCATGTAATTCCAGGCTTTATCAGCCTCATCTCGGAAGGATGTCATCAGCTGTCCCATTTCTGTCCTAAGGAAATGTGTCAATAGCATTTCAAGACAGAAGTAGCACGTCGACTTACGCTCCATAGTGACCCACCAGGTACACCCCGTTAGCTACGAGCTGGTCACCCAGGTCATCAGGACAGCTGCTGCCACCGAACAACACCAATTTGCATCTCTTTAGGGTGTTGATGCCTTCTTGTGATTCTGCGAGCAATTTCAGAGCGTAAGGAACACAGTGAAGGCTCTCTGGTTGCACGGCGCCCATGGCCTTGACAAGATTGGTGCTGGACAATGGAAGACTGGAGTTGTATAGCGCAACCTGCCTTCCAGAGTACATGGCGCGAAGTAGAGTTGCAATACCGTGGTTGTGGAACAATGGTAGAGTTAGAAAGGCCCGATATGGAATTCCACTTGAATAGTTTGCAATGCAAGCCTGGTGGGTTTGAAAGATAGGTTTGGGTAAGCCGGTCGACCCGGAAGAATGCACGATGAAGGAAACTTGGCGCGAAATATTAGAGGGTCGCGGCGCAGGAAAACGGGGAGTCAAAGGGTCCACGACTCGGAAGGCCGCTTCTTCAATGATGTTGTAGCAGTCCAGAGGATAGATTTCCTTGATTGTGTGCACAGTCGGCGCTTGACTCCGACTTAACACAATTTTGGTGCATTTCGTCTCTTTCAACAGATTGACATAGGCCTCTGGTGCCAATCGGGTCGATAGGTATAGTACAGCAAACCCCATTCTGGACAGGGCGAGCATTGAGACGGCATAATCCAAATTTGAAGGTGCCAATAACGCTACAACCTCAGCTTCTGCCGAGGTCTTGGGCTTCTTCCCGTCAGTGCTTGCATAGAAAGCCTTCTCTGTTCAACTTACCTCAGGTTTCAGATTGGCTGCGGCGTAGTTCCAGGCTGCCTTGTCAACGAAGCTGTCGAGCTCCGCGTAAGTATAAAAGACGTAGTCATCTTTCCCAAGGGGACTGGCTGGGTATCCAACGAAGGGTAGATTGCCATATTTCCTCACGGAATCTACAACCAGGTCGTTAACACTTTGAACTTGAAGGGTCGTAGAGCTCAGGAGCCCGGTGTGGTGTAGTTGTTCTGACGCTCCTAACGGCGGTGGTACAGCTGAATGTGTCGCTACTGCCATCTTAGTGGACTTATCTTCACCTTGGACAATGAATCGCGAGAGGGACCAGTGGGATTGGAAAGAATGAATTGAAGTATTATAATTGATTAATCTGATCTTCGTGGTTGAAGACTTTGTGTTTGCGGCACATTCGTGATATCCGTGCAGATGGCTGCCACTTCCGAACCATTCCTCACAAAGCATACCGGAGTGACAGTGTGGGTCATTTGCTTCCGGCACCGTCCTCTTTACATGCACAGGTTGTGGAGCTCCAGTCAATTCAAATGCGAGTAAGGACAGAGGCCATCAATCAGAGTGCGTTTCGGAAAAGTTCACTGAGATTCGGAAATGTCTCTGGGGCTCCACTTCGGACTTTCCTCCGGTTACTGCAGCCTTTGTTGTGATCCTCGCTATTAATGTTTTTCTCTTAGAATAGCAACATTCTGGCAAAACTATCACATTGCCTCATGAGCTCTTGTATTGTTCAGTTATCGGGATCGAGTTTCGAATTTGCCTTCTCCCTCGGCCAAGATGCCTTTGCAAAGCTCATTCAAACTGAACAGCGGTTATTCGATACCTGCTGTTGGTTTAGGTACATGGGTATGGTTGCTCCTCCTGAAATCCGAACGAACCGAAGTCAACTAACTAGGAACTAAATTCAAGCAATCCAAGCCCAATGAAGTCAAGAATGCGGTGGCAACAGCCTTGGCCGCCGGCTATCGCCACATCGATGCAGCCGCATGCTATGACAATGAGGAAGAAGTCGGAGCAGGCATGAAAGAGTCTGGCGTCAGTCGCAGTGATATATTTGTGAGTGGGACGTTGATAGTTCAAGTTGATGGAAAACTGATGAGAATCAGGTCACTGGAAAGTTGTGGAACACACACCACAAACCTGAGGATGTGGAAAGACATATCGACACCACACTCAGAGACCTGCAGACAGATTACCTCGATCTGTACTTGGTGAGACAAGTCGTATGGCCATATCCCTTGACTTAGAGCTCATGATCCATTGCTATAGATACACTTTCCTGTATCGTTTCAACGTACAAATGATACTGAGCGCTTCCCCGTGAACCCAGCCACGGAGGAGATTCATGTGATCGATGTGCCAATCATTGAGACATGGAAGGCAATGGAGGCTCTTGTTAAAAAAGGCAAAGTTCGGTCAATCGGGGTATCAAACTTCACGAGGCAAAAGATAGAGGACCTGTGGGAGAAAGCGGAGATCAAACCATCTGTCAACCAAATCGAAGCGCACCCCTATCTTCAACAACCTGAGCTCCTGAAATGGTGCAAGGAAAAGGTGCGTCCCATTGCTTATCTACGATTACTAGGATTGACTTTCTCTAGGGGATTGTAGTTGAGGCGTATAGTCCTCTGGCTAACAATATATATAACCTACCGCGGTATGGCCATCCACTTCTCCTATTGTCTTTGACTTGATTGACTTATAGGCTTGCAGTGCCGATGATGATGCTGCCATCAAAGAGATTGCGGCGTCCTTAGGAAAGCCGGTTGTCACAGTGCTGTTGAGCTGGGCCGTCCAGCGAGGTACCGTCGTGCTCACCAAATCCGTGACACCTGCAAGAATCAAGGCCAATTTCGAGGGTAAGAAACAGGAGAGCCGGCCAACTGTTGTTGCCAACGCTGTGCTAACCTACGGGAAACAGTTTTTGAGCTTCCACAGGAGGCTTTTCAGAAAATCAACGCCCTTGATAGGGCCCATCGATATAACTTCCCAATTCGGCTTGGGGTCGACATCTTTGGCGAGTCAAGCCCAGAGGCCCTGCGAAAAGGTGTTGAAGATTGGAAGGCGGCACAACGGAAACTGAAGAGCGGAGCGAAATAGAACCACTTTACGAGTCTCATTATGGCTGTGCAGATTCGATCTAAGGGTTGACAACACTAGACACAGGTCTATAGAATCAAATGTTTTTTCTTACTCCCTCGATGACGGGTTCTGTCTTTCAGACATCTTTTGCGTCGTAAAGAGATAGACCGAGACGTGAAAATACTCTCTTCGGAAAAGGCATGTTAGACCCCGCATCGAAATTACCTATTCTGGGAAGTGGAGATCTGTCGGAAAAGCGCATCTACCCCACGCTTCCTCCCCCACACACGCCTTTTCCGCGACTATACCGGGCTGTACTAACTCGGGACGAAGTGTGCGGAGCAGCTACATCGGAATAATGAGCCGGAGCAATATAGCCCGAGCTTGGGTGAACACGAGGATACGGCGAGAAGAGTATCACGACATTCTGCATAGCCTCTCATCCACACTGGTAGCTCCGCCGGTCTCAGGTGCTTTCTTGTTTTCTTAGCCGTCAAGCACGTTCCGTTGCCACTGTAAGAAGTCTGTGGACTGATCACTGTTTTACTACCCTTTAAACAACGCCAAGATGGGGAAGATCGCTTCCATGGAGTACTTCCGCCTGCCGCCGCGGTGGCTGTTCGTCAAGATTACCGACGCGGACGGCAACGTGGGCTGGGGGGAAGCGTCTCTGGAGGGACACTCGCAGGCTGTGGAGGGATGCCTGGATGCATGGTTTGAGAGATATAATGGCTTTGAAGCAGAGTATGTGTGTGCCGATCTCATCCACTTGAACCTCACAAGGCAGTCAGAAATCCCGTCAGACCCTTGATCATGAAAAAATGCAGAGCGGAAGTTTCTAACTTGCGTGGTCCTCAGTGACATTGAACATATCTGGCAAATGTCTTGGCGTACATCCTTCTATAGAGGGGGCCCAGTCTTCATGAGCGCTCTATCGGGTATAGATATTGCTCTGTGGGATCTTAAAGGTAACACTCTACACACCCCCACAGTGTCATTTTGACTTACATGAGAGGAATAGCGAGAAAATTGGGCCTTCCTATCTATCAACTACTTGGGGGTAAGCTACGGGACAAGATCAAGGTATATGCCTGGATTGGAGGTGACCGACCCGGTGATGTTGAGCTTCAGGCGTAGGTACTATCGAAGTCTAGATCAGCTTTGTTTGCTTACTCGACGCGTACACAGAAAAGCACGGCAAGCACAGGGTTTCCGGGCAGTCAAGATGAACGGGACTGAGGACCTCGGATGGATGGACTCGCCAGCGGCGCTCGATGACTGCGTGGAGCGGCTCAAGGCGGTCAAGGCGCTCGGCATGGACGCGGGCATCGACTTCCACGGGCGGGTGCACAAGCCGATGGCCAAGCAGCTGGCGCGGCTGCTGGAGCCGCACCGGCCCATGTTCCTGGAGGAGCCGCTGCTGTCGGAGCACATCGAGGGCATCGCGGACCTGGCCAAGCTGGTCAGCGCCCCGATCGCGCTGGGCGAGCGGCTGTACAGCCGGTGGGACGTCAAGCCCTTCCTCGAGCGCGGCTGCGTCGACATCCTGCAGCCCGACATCTGCCACGTCGGCGGCATCTCCGAGATGCGGCGCATCGCCGCCATGGCCGAGGCCTACGACGTCGCCCTGGCGCCGCACTGCCCGCTCGGCCCCATCGCTCTGGCTGCCAACGTCCAGGTCGACCTGAGCTCCCCCAACTTCGTGATACAGGAGATGAGCCTGGGCATACACTACAACAGCACGGGACAGGATCTAACGAGCTACCACAAGAACCCCGAGGTGTGGAAAGTGACGGACGGCTACATCGACATTCTGCAGGGCCCGGGTCTTGGGATCGAGATTGACGAGGATGAGGTCAGAAGGCTGTCAAAAGACGCCAAGGCTTGGGTGAGCCCTGGGTTTATCGGCCCGGGCGGTGAGATCCGGGAATGGTAGAGCGAGTGTGCGGGCGCGAGGCGGACTGTCCGTCAATGAGAACTGCTTCTGCTTGGAAATGGACATTTTGTATTCTAACTCCACGGTGTTCGTGATTGGGTCATCTGGTCGTCTACTTGATATCGGAGATTGCGCATCCCCAGTCGGCCATTATCAAGTTGCGAGGTCAGCCCAGTGAACTGGCCCGAAACTCTCCGGCATGCCTCGGCATTCGGTGGAGCAGTCTCCTTATACCCGAACGTAGGGCATACCCACTGCAAGCAGCTTCCTCCCAGACTTGAGCTCAACCATCTTTTTGCTTCTTTCTTTTATCCGTGTGCAGTACTCTGTCCATTAGATGTGTTTAATTCTCAAATCCACATTGGAGCGATTCTACTGCTCTCGCTCAGCATCATCATAATTACTATCAGTTGCTACGGTAAATCAAGACATGAGGTGCACATCTGGTACAGCAATTGTAACCGTAAGGTGGTAAGAAAATCTCAAATCTAATCCATCCTCTGGGATTCGGGGATGATATCCTGCGCAATGACTTGAAAACCAAAATCAAGACTTATTGTGCTGGATATGATCCTCATTTGTCCATCACGGATTTCTGCTACCCTTTGTCGCTGTGGCACTATCTAGTTGGCCATTTTCTTGAACCTAGATGGGATAAGCAACTGCTGTTGTCAGAGACAGGAGGGTTTACTTACTTCTGGACCACTCTCTCAATACCATCGCAACCCATCTCAAGGACTTCCATTCTAGGACCGTACGAGAATCGGACAACTATACATCAGTTAGATTAAGCCGTGGTCTGAACTCCCACGAAGACTTACAATGATGGCAAGGGCTGTCGAACAGGTCCCTACGCCTTGAGGGGTTAAGATCAAAGAAGATACCAGGAACAACAATGACCTTCTCCTCAAGACAAGCCTGGAAAAAGTTGAGACCGTCTGAGATGGGGCCAGGCAGGCCCTCGAGGTTCAGCCAGAGGTAGAAAGTGCTGTCCGGCACATACTTGATGACAAATCCCATGTCGCGGAGGCGCTTGACGACGTAGTCTCGCTTGTCCTACACATGCATTATTAGTAAGGGTTTCGAGGAAGCCAAGGCCCACGGGTACTTACACGGAAGTGTCGCTGGAGCGCAACCATCTCCTTCTGGACAAGACCAGGTTCGAGCATAGGGACTGCAGCTTCTTGGAAAGGAGCGTTGGCACCACCGTCAAGGTAAGAACCGCAGGAGCCGATGCTAACATGATGTCAGCGGGTGTTCCTCTTCCAATCTCGACATCTGCTAGTGTTTCCGGGGAACTTACGCCTTGATGAATTCCTTGGGTCCCAAGATCCATGCGATTCGCCAACCAGGTAGGCGGAATCGCTTCGTCAGACCGTCAATGATGAGGACATCATCCTCGTCAACATCCTCCACGTTCTCGGCAGCGGAGATGGTGGTGCCGTCGCAGTCGCTGGTGTAGTTGTAACCCGAGTAGAACTCATCGCTGACGAGCGTAGCTCTGCCTCTGCAAATGTCTTGGATCTCAGCCAACTCTGGGTTGGCCACCACACGACCAGTGGGGTTTCTGGGGTTCGAGGTAATGATGACGGAGGTACCACGGGCAATCTCGGTGGCGATCTTGTCTGGGTGGATGTGGTAGCCGTCCTCCTCGCTCAATGGGGTGGGAATGGCAGCAAAGTTCTTGAAGAGCGACAACATCTCGTTGTATGCCGTGTAGTCGGGGATGAAGAAGCCGACGTAGGCATTGTTCAGGACAGCCGCGATACGGATCAGACCAGCACGACCACCAGGCACGATAGCGACGTTCTCCCACGAGTAGAGGGAATCCTTGCCCTTGCGGTGCATCTCGTTGTACATGTGGGCTACGGCCTCGCGCAGAGGCTTGATACCGGCCGTCGGGCCATACTCTCTCGCGGCAGTCGAGACGTCGATGGTGCTGGGTCGCTGGAAACAGCCCTCAATGTCGTCCTCGACCTCGGGGGCCCCCTGGCCCAGGTTGGCCCACTTCTCAGGCTCTTCAAGGAAGCCATACTCGCTGGCTCTCTCGGTGCACCAGACGACACCGGTGGAGGCTCTCGTCGCATCGAGACCGGCGTGGGGCAAGTGCCCTTCGTGGGCAGCGCGGAATTGGCGATGGATCTTGGAAGACGTCTCTGGAGAGGTCGCTGTTAGTGCGAGGTATGTCTCATGTATGCCAAGGCCTGGGGTGGATGCTTGTCGGACTTGGAGCCGCACACTTGAACGGCCACTGCCAAGAACGGCCACCACGAGCAAGCGGTGCCAGCTACCCAAGCGATGAGATTTGGCAGGAGGCAACACGGGTTGTATGCTCGTGCAGAGGATTGATCACAGGGACTGGTGGGAAGTGCAAGGGGCCTTTACCTTGGGCGCTAGGCTCGCCAACGCTGAACCGCCGCGACGGACGCGGAACGCCCGTGTTGCGGTTCATGGAAAACTTTCTGCTGTTGAACATCTTGAAGGTTCGGTGGCGGCGTCTGGCTGCCCAAAGATGCACAGAGCTGTGGTCTGAGGTAGGTGGGTTGGTATTGGGCGAAGAGAGGTCTTTATTTCGCAGACCTGGCTGGCTTTTGAAGAGCTCGATACGCGCTCAAGGCCGCTCGGAAATCACGCAGACGATGCAGCGATATTGAGGGAATCAGCGCTTGGCCTCGAAATGCCTCGATCAGCTTGGAGCAGGGCTGCAAAAAAAGAAAAGAGATGTTGTCAGTTTCTTCCTGAATCGTCACCGATTCTTTTTCGATGCGAAGTGGGGGTGGGGGGAACTGGGTCTGCTGGGCTGTCTGGGCTGTCCAGTCTGTCTGGCCGCAAGTTTGTCAGGCGTCTTTGTGCTTTGTGGGACAGGCGGAAGCCAAAACAGAGGCAGTGCGTTTCGTGATCCACGGCTGTTCGCTGTTCTCGCCCCGTTGGTTGAGGAACACCGCCATTTCGCCCGGAGGCGGAGCCTGCAGCAGGGCCAGTCGTCGTATGCCGTTGCTGAACATTGGCTTGATCCATTCGGATCCTAAAACAGGGAATCCGTACTGGCCCGCGCTGTTACGAGGTTACGAGCAACCCTGCAGTCGTAGCACCCGCAGGCGGCGTGATGGGAATTACGTTTGCGCATACAGTAGAGTAGCTATAAGCAATCTAGACAGAACAGGACTATATTGTCAAGTATTTGCCGTTCCTGTAGGACCAGCTCGTCAAAGTAAATTCCGCCTCTCTTTCTCGCCTGCTTACTCTCTCCTGTCTGCGACATCGCCGTCACAAATGCGCTACAGTAGTTGCTCAATGCCAAGAGAAGGAGGGGTTCGTCGCTGCCCCACGATCAGGCCCCTGCACGCCTAACCCAAACAGACCTAGATCGCCTGAGAGCTCTTAACGCGTCTTCTCGGTCCATTAACGCGTCGGCAGGGAGCATTCCTAATTCTCGTCATCGATAGAGCCAGCTTTGCCGCCCAAACGAGTATCGCGACCTGCACCACACATCCTCGGACTCGAGCATCTCTGAGACATCAGGCGGCCCTTGACGAAGTCACCATGGCCCTCATTGTGGATAAGCACCGGCCGCGATCGCTGGATGCCCTGACATATCACCCTGAGCTCTCTGAGCGCCTCCGGTCCCTGGTATGATAGCCCACCCCGATGCCAGAGGATGCGTAACTGACATTGACTCTCAACAGGCGCAAAGCGGCGACTTCCCACATCTCCTGGTCTACGGGCCCTCCGGCGCTGGCAAGAAAACCCGCATAGTAGCCACCCTCAAAGAGCTGTACGGCCCCGGCGTCGAGAAGATCAAGATCGACGCGCGAGTCTTCCAGACCAGCAGTAACCGCAAACTCGAGTTCAACATCGTGGCCTCCGTGTACCACCTCGAGATAACACCGAGTGATGTGGGCAACTACGACCGCGTGGTCGTGCAGGACCTGCTGAAGGAGGTCGCCCAGACGCAGCAGGTCGATCAGAGCGCCAGGCAGCGCTTCAAGGTTGTCGTCATCAACGAGGCAGACCATCTGACCCGCGATGCGCAGGCCGCGCTGAGACGAACCATGGAAAAGTACAGTCCCAACCTGCGACTGATCCTGCTGGCCAACAGCACCGCGAACATCATTGCACCCATCCGCAGTCGAACTCTACTGGTGCGCGTCGCCGCTCCCACGATTGACGAGATCAGTACAGTCTTGGCAGTCTCGGCGAAGAAGGAGGGTTGGCCCGTGGTGAAGGGACTACACAAGCGTATCGCCGAGGAGAGTGGAAGAAACCTGCGTAAAGCATTGTTGATGTACGAGGCTGTACACGCTCAAAAGTAAGCCATCCATTTGTCGTCTCCTGTCTAGATGTTCACAAGCTGACTTTCAACAGCGAGAAGGTTACAGACGACACACCCATACCGCCGCCCGACTGGGAAGCCCTCATCAGCCAGATAGCCAAGGAGATCATGGAGGAGCACTCGCCGGCTCGTATCCTACAGGTGCGGGCAAAGCTATACGACCTGCTCACGCATTGCATACCGCCGACCACCATCCTCAAGACGCTCACATTTAAGCTCATCGCCCTCATCGACGACGACCTAAAATGGGAAGTGATCAAGTGGTCGGCCTTCTACGAGCATCGCATCAAGATGGGCACCAAGGTCATTTTCCACCTCGAGGCCTTCGTGGCCAAGTTCATGAGGATATTCGAGATGTACCTTATGCAGATGGAGCTGTAAACAATACCGGCAATGTATTTCGGATGGCGTGAGTGGCGTTTGGGCTGGCAAGGGGCATGTGGAATATCTTCTTGGGATTAGCTGGTACATGTAAATGCACACCCAGGGAAAAAATTGGCGAATATGCCTAATAGACACCAGAATTGATGAGAGCGGTTGCAAACAGTAATGCCTTTCCTATACTTTTATAGGCTGTTGCATATGATATGGGCGTCTGGTGCCATCTAGAACGTCTAGTTTTGCGCTGTACTGATGGACGCTTAGCCCCGGCTTTGATACAAACCCTTCAGCCATCAGTTTACCGACTCGAAGCAAGCAAGCGCACACGTTGTTGGTGCTCGAAATTTGATCTTGCGGTGCCGCCCCGAAACTTCTGGCCGGCCGGTCGTATCTTTCCGGACGGCTATGTGCTATTCATTCCCGGACTGAAGGTCAAACCGCCGACACAGTACATTGGATAGCAACGACTTCCGAACTTCGGGCGAGCGATGGTAGCTGGACCCAGAATTCCCCGGGCAGGGGACCACCGAGGCACCAACATACCTGGGTACGCAGTCGTATGATCAATCCCTGATAGATTTAATCTCGAAGATGCGCACATGCGTCGTGGAGCCCCTTGCTTTCCTGTGCGAACCTAGCCACTACCAAGACCGGCATTCATAAGTCCACCTCGATATTTGTTGGAAAGAGACCGCTCAAACCCCCACGCAACAGTGCCCACGCGTTCCAAGGTTATCTCGGAGGCTTGTTGCTTTAGCGGCATTTCAGAATCGTGTCAGTGATAGAATGAACTCCAGGCCTCCTAACTAAACAAGGCTGAAGGGAGAAACTCTATCCTGGCCATAACCGAGGCCAACCCGGCCGTGCGGGAGTGGGCGAGAGGCTAGAACATTGACACCTTCTACTGCAAGCGGGATGTGCTTAACCGCAGGACTGGGTACGACAGGCAAACCCAATGAGGGTGCCGCAAGGGACACTGCGTTAGTCGAGTGGTCTTCCCTGTCCACAGCCACAAAGTAATTCTGAAGATGGCACGTTGCTTGCCCTCATTTTATGAGAGCACCAGCATATGTTAATGGCTTCTTTCGACAAAATCGCAGCGCATTAGGCCGAAAAGTACCACGCTCACTGGTTGACCCACCCATGTCCATTGCCAAGTCAGCCACTGAAGAGACGAAGTGCTTCCCCGCGTTCTGGGGCACAAACCCCTCGCTCAGTGCCGTAAGCCAAGTCGAGGAGGGATGGTCTGATGATTCCAATAATTCTGCAAATCTCTGGGACTAGAGGACACAATGACGTGACCCGCCCGGCAATGCAATGCCATTGCTTGGCCCTCTTGTAGATCCATATCTTGCTCCTTGGTCAGCGCCTGGACTCGACGAGAGACCTGTACCCCCAGAAAACTCTCCCGGGCGTCTGGAGCAGATGAGCTCAGGCCACACGACCCCGAGGCTTGGGAAAGTCTTGGGTCTTTGGGGTGCGGGGAAGACAACCCAGACGTGCCATGCGGTTCTGATTTGGAGCAGTCCCGCCATCCACGAATGGATAACTTGAGGGACAGGGGTAGTATGCAGGCAGGCCGGACAGGCTTAGTGACCGTTCCTATCAGCCGCCCGACCGGTGCTCCAGTCCCTTGTGGTCTGCGTGAAATGCCTGTGCCGTTCCCACGTCTGCCCCAGATGACACATAATATGGGTGCTACCTTTCGACAAATGCGCGATCGCATCTGGAAAGGGGGCCTCAGACCGAGAGGCCGCTGCACCGAGTTGGCCAGCGTCGCCTTCGTCGCCTTGGCGCATGGAATGGCAAACTGGTTCTCGGCTTGGGAATACATTCGGGCCGGGGAGACGACATCAATTACCAGATGCTGGGGAAGCACTCATGCAGATAGATTGTTCGTCCAGCGTGTTCCAATATCGCCCAATTTGGTCACCGGTCCAGGCTGGACCGTGTTTCCGCCTCGTCGCATGCAGGAGTGGTTCGGTTGCTACGGTAGGTTCAATGGGAAGGTTTGCATGTTGGGTCGACCATGACACAGCAGCACTGGCACGCGGTGCCTGCATATGACCGAGATGTGAACGGTAACCGCCCAGTGATCTCGGGCCTTTGCAGGAGCGAAGCTGCAGTGGTAGACGGGGAGATGGTGAGACAGCCCTGGCGTGTAGGCTCTACCGAGAGGGCGCTCCGCCGGATATCGCACACAATGATGAATCCAGCGGGCTCTTTGATGGCATTCGGAAGCATGGTGATTGGGAAACGGCGCGTTGGTCACGGTCGAGCGGAAGCGAATGCCCCACTGGCCGACCCTGGGCGTGCTGGGCAGGAGCACCCCGGGCGCTGCGAGGCCCGCTAGCGTAGATGCAGGGCCCCCAGAGGGCACCACCAGCCAGCGGGCACCCGGCGGGGACAGCTTCACCCCAACCCGCCGTCACTGCAGCTACTATTTTGCCGCAATACAAAAAGTGCTGGGCTCCAGTCTCCCGGTACCTGGCGCGAGTGACTTATTTTCACTTTGTTTCTTCTTTCTTTCTCCCTGCCTCTCCCCCCCTCGCCCTAACGCAAGCTCACTCTTGCCAACACACCTGCATCGGCGACGCTCTCTGCTCGAGCTTCGACTTTGCTCACGACTGCACCTCCCGTCCCGCTTTGGCGACCCTCGCGATCTCACCTCGTGAGCACGATAGCTACCCCGCATAGACCCGAGCAAACCCCCAGCAACATGGCTGACGGCAAGGCCCCCGTGGTCGCGGAGGCCCATGAGGTCGACACCTTCCGTAAGAAACCCAATTGACTGATTCCGACGCCCGTATTGCGATCGAGGCGCCATGGCTAACAGCGTTGTCTACAGATCCCCCGCAGAAGATGCTGGACAGTGAGTTGGGAACATGAGATTACATGGGCAGGAGTGGGGCTAACGGTTGCAACAGAGCACCCTAGCAAGCCTCACATCTCGGGTGAGTTGATTCGATTCGATTCCACGTCATGTGTTTCCTAGGTTTGGGACGGTAGTTTGCTGACTCTCCGCTAGGCATGGACGAGTACCAGCAGCTGTACAAGGAGTCCATCACAGAGCCCGACAAGTTCTGGGGCCGAATGGCCAGAGACCTCTTGACCTGGCAACGGGACTTCCAGACGGTACACACTGGCTCCCTCGCCGAGGGCGACAATGCCTGGTTTCTTGAGGGTCAGCTCAACGCGTCCTTCAACTGTGTTGACCGCCACGCCATCAAGGACCCCAACAAGGTTGCCATCATCTACGAGGCCGACGAGCCCGAGGATGGCCGCAACCTGACCTACGGCGAGCTTCTGCGCGAGGTGAGCAGAACGGCTTGGACCCTGAAGCAGATGGGTGTCCAGAAGGGCGACACCGTAGCCATCTATCTTCCTATGATCCCCGAGGCCATCATTGCCCTGCTAGCAGTAGTCCGTATCGGTGCGGTCCACTCAGTTGTCTTTGCCGGCTTCTCGGCAGATTCGCTCCGTGACCGAATCATCGATGCCCGATCCAAGGTTGTCATCACGACGGACGAGGGCAAGCGCGGAGGCAAGTTGATCGGCACCAAGAAGATTGTCGACGAGGCTCTTAAGCAGTGCCCCGACGTCTCGCATTGTCTGGTCTACAAGCGCACAGGTAGTGAATGTCCTTGGACCGAAGGCCGAGACTACTGGTGGCACGAGGAGGTCGAGAAGTGGCCGTCTTACATCGCCCCCGAGCCCATGAACTCCGAGGACCCCCTCTTCCTCCTCTACACCTCTGGCTCAACTGGCAAGCCCAAAGGTGTTCTACACACGACGGCTGGCTATCTTCTCGGTGCTGCCATGACTGGCAAATATGTCTTCGACATCCACGACACCGACCGGTACTTCTGTGGTGGCGATGTTGGCTGGATCACAGGACACACTTACGTCGTCTACGCACCGCTCCTCCTCGGTGTCTCGACTGTAGTCTTCGAGGGTACACCGGCGTATCCCAACTTTTCCCGTTACTGGGAGATCATCGAGAAGCACAAGATCACGCAGTTCTACGTGGCCCCCACAGCCCTGAGATTGCTGAAGCGGGCCGGCGATGACTTTGTCAAGGCGAAGATGCCTGACTTGAGAGTCTTGGGCTCTGTGGGTGAGCCTATCGCCGCTGAAGTTTGGAAGTGGTACTTCGAGGTTGTTGGCAGAGAGGAGGCACACATTGTCGACGTGAGTCGACCCGCGACGTTCTGGTACAAGGGTATGACTAACGGAAACAGACATACTGGCAAACCGAGACGGGTTCCAACGTGATCACACCTCTCGCTGGTGTGACTCCCACCAAACCCGGTAGCGCATCTCTACCGTTCTTCGGTATCGAGCCTGCCATCATCGACCCTGTCTCTGGCGACGAGATCCACGGCAACGATGTTGAGGGAGTACTGGCCTTCAAGCAAGCGTGGCCGAGCATGGCACGAACCGTCTACGGCGCGCACAAGAGATACATGGATACTTACCTGAATGTCTACAAGGGCTACTACGTAAGTTCAAGCATTCTTTTTCCCGCAGTCTGACGACATACTTATCGCATTGGTGCAGTTTACTGGAGATGGAGCCGGTCGCGACCACGAAGGCTTCTACTGGATTCGGGGACGTGTGGACGACGTGGTGAACGTCAGCGGTCACCGTCTGTCCACCGCTGAGATCGAAGCTGCCTTGATTGAGCACCACTCGATCGCCGAGGCGGCAGTCGTCGGTGTGGCTGACGAACTCACTGGCCAGGCTGTCAATGCTTTTGTTGCGATCAAGGACGGCACCGAGGCGACAGATGCCCTGCGTAAGGAGTTCGTCCTCCAGGTGCGCAAGAGTATTGGTCCCTTTGCCGCTCCCAAGGCCGTCTTCATCGTTCCCGATCTGCCCAAGACCCGAAGCGGCAAGATCATGCGTCGGATCTTGAGAAAGATCTTGGCTGGAGAGACTGACTCACTTGGCGATACATCGACGGTACGTGTTCCTGATACCCCCACGCTCTCAGTTGTAGGTTACTGACACAACCCAGCTCTCGGACCCCAATGTGGTCGATAAAATTATCGCGACTGTTGGGGAGTCGCGCAAGAAGTAGACGAGGGGCGAGCATGTGTTTTCGGGCGGAGGGAGCTTCTGATACCACAGTGACGATGGCTTTGATTGCGAGATGCTGAGCAGATGCCGGTCAAGGGAATGATATGACGTGTGTTAATAGGTTCTAGGTAGTTTCCGGAGGCTTGCTAATCAACACTCGGTCCTGACAATAATACCTTACTGAGCACCATCATCACATGTGCACAGACAACAGGCCACCATGATTGCCCACAACGCTAGAGAATTAAGAGTTGAGGATTGTTGGCCAAGGGTGTTCTGTGTTGTTAAGGTCGTCATTTCATCAAGACTCCTGTTATGACGCAAACCTTGTGTCGCCGCAGGATTCAGGCTTGATGTTGAGAACACAACGTCCCAACTTGGAGCTTTCGCTCTCGGATTTAAGCGACGGGTTGGTACCGAATCCCCGATTCTCCCAGGGCGGGTAGGCGGAAAGATTGGTCCGCAGTTGCTGCTGGTACGAGCACGACGTTTGCGCCGTTCTCTTGGGAAGGGCGCTTTTCACCAATCGCGGGCCACTTCATGACCGGAGACGATGCAGTAAAAGTGTCTGCGCCACGATCAGATCCGGCTTGACTGCTCAAGTGCTCTGTTAGAGCAGATGGACGCGTAATGGATGTTGAGTTGTGTGCGATCTAACAGCTTGGCAATGGGGGGTTTTGCAGCATCTTTCAGCTGGGATGGACACCAGAGTATTCCGTAGAGGCCGATGACGCACCAACTAGTTATCGTGAATGACATGATTTGTTTCTTTTGCCCGATAGAGTATTTGCTCACTAATGACTACCCCGCCCTAGATTGACCTTAGAGTATATCCCTGATTGTACTGTAGTTGGCAAGGGAAAGGGGGGGGGGGGTCAGGAGGCTTACTATGCTAGGTGTCCATTGGAGTCGTGCCGTCGCACTACAGATGTACAGTGCCATCGTACAGCCTCTGACAGCAGCATCCACTGTTGTGGAACGGGGCACTGCGCCTCCCAGACAGGCTCCACATCCTTGTTTTAAGCTTCTCCAGACGGCGAGTTACAGTTAGAGAGTGGGAGACCGTCCCATCTCGACGCCTGCGTTTCACGGGGTCTTGTCAGTCTGATTTGGAGCGCCTGGAAGTGATCGAAGTTTCGTGAAGCCTTATATCGTTGGGACTTTTCCGACACACGCCGACGATCCCTCTATAAACATCGGCAGACGGCTGTCTGGCCGGCCTCAGGTTCCGGGTTCGCGCTAAGCCATTGACTGCCGGGGCGCTCTCTGGCTTCTGAAACGGCGCGGCAACCCAGGGCCACCACCTAAAAAAAGCCGACGAGACTTGGATCGCTCGGGGGTTAATCGTCCCATCGCTCAGCGCCCAGCACAGGGTTTCCGCAGCCGGGATTCGACCCTCGCCCAAAGCGCCAGGGCCGCCTGCTGACGGGCCAGGGCCAGAGTAGCACAGTAAGCTGGGCCGGGGAGGCAGGGTTCCCCTACCAAGCGCTTCCAAGCGCTACCAAGCCCACCCTCCGACTTGCGCCGTAACACACACTGGACAGCAGCCTGGCAGATAGGTACCCTAGGTACCCGCAATCCGCACTCCCAGGGAGGCCAAGGGCGCCCCGCCACCCCTGGCTGGTGGAGAACACCTTATTCGGCCAACGACAGCCGGCCGCCGTCTCTAAGACCAAGGTTGGCGCTCCCTCTTCCTGCACCGCGCCCCCCCGGCCCAGCCGTTCGTATGCACACACAGCGCGCGCTCTCTCTGCCTCCCTCGTCCTGGTTCCGAAACACAGCGATAAACCTCTCCCCTCGGCGGCTCTGGTCTTTTTTGTCTTCCTCGTGCATTGCTAAGCTTTCGTGCCAGAAATCCCAACGGCCCATTCTACCGTGCTTTCGCGGTTTGACAGCCCGTACGACAGCCGCTGACGCCACATCCGCAGCTGCAGAGACCACCTGGGCGAAAAAGAGAGAGACCAGCCAGCAGCGATCGGATAGCGGCATTGATTCTCAGAACAGACTCAGCCAAGATAACATTGCCAAGCCGCCTCGAGTCCTGTGGGAACCACCCGGCCTCGTCACCCTCTTCCAGGCTCTCTCAGAGGCCTGTTGCATTTGCCCTTCTTCAAACCCGATCCTGCCGTTTCCGTTTCTGTCAGATCTTCCTGTTCATGTATCCGTGACTGCTTCTGCCGAGCGACATTTTTTCTGTTTTCCTTGATTCGACGACTTCGGCTTGCTGCGCATTTCGATCTCAACCGTCAATCGTCTCTCGGTCCTGCTACGACTTGGATGGTGGTGTAGATCCGAGGAACCCGTCCCTGTGTTTGGGGCTTACCTTTCTTCTAAGATGCGCGGCATTCTTAGGACCATCGCGGCCGTTGTTCTGACGCTCTCGCATTCCTCAGAAGCGCACTCGACCAAGAGAAATGCTCTGAATTACATCAGCCGCCTCGACGACCCTGTCCTGCGGACACCGTCACATCGTGTCCATGCTCACTCGTCCTTCGACCTGACCTTCCTGCTGCACGACGGGAGCGAACAGTTCCGCCTGACACTAGAACCTAATCTTGATGTAATCGCAGACGACGCGACTATTCAATACTTGAACCCGGATGGTACGGTGCGGCATGAGGAGCCAATCTCGCGGTCGGAACACCGGGTGTTCAAGGGCGACGCATTCGTCCAGCATGTAGGCCACGGCGAATGGATCAAGGCCGGCTGGGCGAGGATATCAATGCTCCGTGACGGGAGCAGGCCGGTATTCGAGGGCGCATTCCGGATAGACGGAACCGACCACCACATACAAACGATCACCAACTATCGCAGGACGCAGCACCACGATGATCCCGTGCTTGAGTTTGCCGAGGATGAGTACATGGTCGTCTGGAGGGACTCTGATGTATCATCCGATTCTAGCGCGCCCGGTGAACTGAAGCGGAGTTTGGGCGGTTCGACATGCCAGTCCGACCAGCTGGATTTCAATAACGAACTTGATCATCCTGTCCTGAGCCATCTGGATCTTCGAGACATGACCCGGAATGAAGGAGGCGCACTCTTTGGCCGGGACGGCGACACTGGTAATACTGGCGGTAATGGTGCCGGAGTCAACCTCGCTGGTACTATTGGTTCAACAGAAGGTTGTCCGACCTCACGCAAAGTTGCACTGGTCGGCATTGCCACTGACTGCACGTACACGGCGGAATTCAACTCAAGCGAGGCCGCCCGGGCCAATATCATCCAGATGGTCAACGCCGCTTCTCAGGTGTATGAGAGCGCGTTCAACATCTCGTTGGGCATTCACAACCTGATCGTCTCCGACCGTTCGTGCCCGGGGACAACACAGGAGACCACCCCATGGAACGTGGCCTGCAGCAACAGCGTAAGCATCACTGACCGTCTCAACCTGTTCTCGGCATGGCGAGGGCAGAACAACGATTCCAACGCATACTGGACTCTGCTCAGCACTTGTAACACGGATGCGGCCGTGGGTCTGGCCTGGCTGGGGCAGCTCTGCGTCCAGGGCTCTACAGGTGGCGGCGGGAACGAAACGACCGCCGGTGCGAACGTGGTTGTGCGGACTTCGACGGAATGGCAAGTCTTTGCCCACGAGAGCGGCCACACATTCGGCGCTGTCCACGATTGCATCTCGTCTACCTGCTCGGACGGGTCCGTCACCATGCAGAAGTGTTGCCCCCTGACCTCCTCCAGCTGCGACGCCAAGGGACAGTTCATGATGAATCCTTCCACGGGCAGCAGCATCACGCAGTTCTCTGCCTGCAGTATCGGCAATATATGTTCTGCATTGGGCCGCAATAGTGTGAAGTCACAATGCCTAACCAACAACAAGGACGTCGTCACGATCACCGGTAGCCAGTGCGGCAACGGTATCGTCGAGCAGGGAGAAGACTGTGACTGCGGTGGAGAGGAAAGTTGTGGCAGCAACAGCTGTTGCGATGCTAAAACCTGCAAGTTCAAGTCGGGTGCCGTCTGCGACCCCTCAAACGAAGACTGCTGTACACAACAGTGTCAGTTCAAGTCCTCGGGCTCGGTATGCAGGACAAGCACCGGGGCTTGTGATCCTCAAGAAGTGTGCACCGGAAACTCGCCAACATGCCCGGTCGACAAGGTCGCTGACGATGGCACATCTTGTGGTGCGAGCGGTGCCGGTCTGACCTGTGCCTCTGGCCAATGTACATCGCGGGATCTGCAGTGCAAGACCGTTGTTGGCGCAGTCACTACCGATAACAACACCAGCGCCTGCAACTCGCAGGGCTGTCTGCTCTCGTGTGCCTCCTCGCGCCTTGGCCCCAATACCTGCTACAACATGAACCAATACTTCCTGGACGGCACCCCCTGCCAGGGCGGAGGCCAGTGCAAAAACGGCCAATGTGAGGGAGCAAGCTTTGGCAACGAGGTCGCCTCTTTCTTCAGCGACAACAAGAACATCATTACCCCCGTCGCCGCGTCGGTCGGCGGCCTCATCGTGATCGCCATCTTCGCGTGCTGCCTCTCGGCATGCCGCCGGAGGAGAAGGGTTAAGAAGCTCAAGTCCGTGCAGCCCAACGCGAGCTGGCAGGGCGGCTCGGCCTGGACAGCGGCGAACTTGGCGCGCCCGGCGCCTGCGGCCAGCAGGTCGCGAGGCGAGAGAGGCTCCAGTAGAGGCCCCCCGCCGGCCTACCCGCCGTACCCGTACCCAGGACAGGAGCAGTGGAACCGCGTGCCGACGGCGCGTTACGCGTAATGCGGAAGAGATTGTCTGTTTTTCGATGTTTGTCAGAAGCTGGGCTGGATACTGGTATTCTTGATGAGACGGAGCAAAAAGTTCGGGCTTGGCACGAGGCCAACGAAATCCGGGTGCGGGCCGTGTCTTCGAGCAAACTACCGGGATGGGCAAGCATTGTCTTATGTAACGTGGCACGGTGTTGATCTCTACAATTCATCATCGGTGGGAGTTTGTGGCGTTCTGGTTGCTGGCGATGGAATCCAAAGGATGCCAGTCAACCGGTCTGGGATTTTTTTGTCCACGGTTTGTTTCTTTGGACTTTTGTGCCCGAGGGCATTCTTGCATACTGTTTTTGTATATAGCCTCACTCACTAGCGGGCAACGTGACGGTGACAGGCGGGGTTCCAGCATTGGATGGGCAGCTATAGAGCATTGGGATCCTGGACGACGGTGGGTATAGGCGTCGTCGGCAGGACAGGGTAACGATACCTCGAGCCAGCGTAAATATACAGCGGGTTCATCATGACCACTCCCTCACCCACCAGACCAGTTGAATGATGTTTATGTGATGTGAAACACGCACTCGGCTCGATTTGCTGGGCATTTGAAATCTCGCACTGGGCAGCATCGAGCAACGCTATCTAGGTGTCCCCCCGACTTCATGGCCCTCATTAAGTATGCTTTGGCCAATTCCAACCATGCCTGTACTCTGGAATGGACGCGGCCATCCCTCACAAACCCAAATGAGACCTCGTCGAACCATGAAGGCCATAAACCCGCCACCCAATGTCCCTCTCATAACAGATGATGGACGCTCAGAAACTCAAATTAGCCGCCGTTGTTTAGGGGGGTATCGCTTGCTTGGACCGGACAATTCCCTTCCACCTTTTCGTTTTGTTTCCCCTTCCCTATTTGTCCTGTCGTCCTTCATCGGAAACTTGCAACAGAAGTGGCCACGCGCACCAGAAAACCACCAACTCCAGATCATCATGAAAAAGTCCGCTAACAATAAGGACCAAAAACAAGAGCCGATCAAGGCAGATCGACCTCCAGTGAAAAGCCAGCCGTATTTCTTTTTTCCCCTGGGGAGGCTGCCCTCCTACTCTTACTCACATATACCTCCGTGCCATGCACTAGATTGGTAAACCGATCCTTGATCGGTTCCGTCTGTCACCCTTGCCCGAAAAGGGGACCACACAAGCGCAGCCGCAGCTATAGCAGCACCTCGCCGCCGGCTTACCTGACGGCCCTCGGCATCTTGACCTCCCAGGTCTCAGCGAGAGCTCCGGTGGTCACTGCCACCGGTGCGCTTGGTCGGCGTACTGCGGCTGCTGCTGCTGCCGCCGCTGCGGTGGTGCGAGGACGAGGACTTCTTGGACGTCTTCTTGGAGGACGAGGCGCCCTGCGCGGAGCCGTCGGCCGCCACGCCGCAGAGCATGCGCGTGTAGCGGAGGCGCGTTGCCGGCACGGACTGCACCCGAGGTCAGTAGTAGGCCGAGCCGTTGCCGTCGAGCAAGGGGTGTCATGTGGTATCCTTCTCGTCGAGGGACGTAGGGGCGTCAGACGGGAGGAGAGGGGGAGACGGTCCAACGAATAGCGCCAAGAACGGACGATATAGAGATGTCTCTTCTGTGCTAGACGAGAATTGTGGTCTCGAGACGGTTTGGGGCAGTGAACATGGGGGTTCAAGCTGAAAATAACAAGGCCATGAGAGCAAGATATCGAATTTTGCCATGCTCACCTCGTTGTCACGCTGCGCGTACGTCATCAGAAGCTCCGGGGTGTCGAGCACCTGCACGGCCTTCCGCCTCTGGTCCACGACGGCAAAGGGCTCATCTCGCCTGTGCGGGTAACTCGGACGTCAGCCAAAATGTCCCCTTGCTCACTCCAGGGCTCCTGCTTTCTCAGGCCGTGATGGGAGCCGGTCCACAGAGAGCATGGGTGTCCGGAAGGGGTGGGGGGTTTTCCCTCCCTTGACAGGACCCGCGCCGTGCGGTGGGATACAAGCGGGGGCAAGCGACCAGACGGAAGGGTGAGGTGAGCTGGGCTGATGGAACTTACCGGTGTCGTCCTCCGCCCCAGTAGTTGGCGTCCTCCGAGTCCTCCGACTCGTGGTACGGGTCCTTGCCCCGCGCCTGCCGGTCCCGCATCTCGGCCGTGAAGACGGGGGCGCCGTCGGCGGCGTGCTGCTGGTGTTGCTGCTGGCCGTAGGGCCGGCCCCGGGTTCCTGGCAGGGAGGGAGAGCTCATGCTGGTCTGGTAACCGCGGAAGTCCCCCTGCTCGTAGTGGAACGATGCCATCTCTTCTCAGGGCCGGGGGTGGGCGGGTTGGGCGGGTTTAAGTAGTCAATCGACGTCGCCCCGTTTGCGTTTCCCGCCAGGAGGGAATAGAAGCAGCTTTCCGGGCTGCTGGGTCGGTGGCCTGCTTTTGCCTGCCTGCTTGCCTGCCTGCTCGCTTGCTCGCTTGCTTCAGAAGTGGGCTCTGGGATGCATGGGAGGGCATTACCACCTTGCGTCGTCTACCCCAAGCACTGACAGTTGTCCCCCCGGGCTGGTCCAAGGGTTCGCGCTCTCGCTCTCTCTCGCTCTCTGCTTGGTATTAGTTTAGACGACCGACCGAAGGGGGTGACGGCGCTGCGCGCGGAGCGGCCAATTGTGGGGAGTGGTTCCACAGCGGAATTTAGTGGACGGGAGTCTGACCAACGCCCTAACTACGTTGCGACTCTCGCGCGTAAGCGCCATGTATAATCCAAGTATAAACGGCCGCGAAAAGAGCCTCCCTTGCCGGGGGGCCGAAGCACCACCGCTGGGGCTGGGGGAAGGGAGCTTGGCCAAAAAGAAAAATAGAATGAAGGCGTTGCAGTGCTATCCTGCAACGGGCTACCTGCCCTTCACCTTGACGTGTAACTCGTACCCCGGGCGTGAGTTGTACGATCCGTACCAGTCCTGGCCCCGTTCCTGTGGTACTGAGTAAATAGAGCATCGCCCGTGCTTATTTGTGAGTGAAAGCAGCCTGCCGGCGGTGTCGTCGGGGGGGATATTCGCGCATGCGAGCATGTGCATTCAGGACGGGACTAATGTAAGCACAGCGCCACCAGCCAACGGTCTCGGTTTGGCGATCTCTTAATTTTCTCGACAGGAACCCTGGACCGGGGCAGTTTGTTATTCCTGTTTTCCCTCTTCTCGGTCAGTGGCAGGTGAAGATAGTCGAGGGTTCGCAGTCCCCCGGGTCCCTTGACCCCTTTCGGCATATTGATAGTGTACTATTGCTCACCGTGCAGGCGCACTAGCACGGATGCATACGCACCTACGCGGGTTCGCCTGGGCCTCGACAGCCAATTCGCAGGAGCTGGGGACAAAGGAGGTCCACGGATTGGCGACATGGCGCCTCATGTCTTCATGGTTTTTGGCTCGCCAGCACATACTCTCACCTCGATACCGAGCAAGCCACAGGCACCCACAAACGGCGGTGGAGGAGGCTCCGCTGTGCTGACTCTTCTCACCATCACCGGTGTTGTCTTTCGGCTCGGGTCAGCACACGTGTACGGCGGTTACGAGACGACAGGCCGATGCAGGCGACCCAGAATGCCTCGTGTAGATCCCATGCGATGGCCAAGGTGTGCCACGCGCGGCCTACCGGGAGGATATGATACGTCGGTCCAGCAAGAAGGTGCTTAGATAGGCACTCCGCGGCTCCAAGGCTCTTGCTGCAATGCCCATGGGTGAGAACCGGCCTGTATGTTTTTTTGCTTCGGGAAACATGTCCACATTCGTCGTCTCCTCGTATTTCTCGGGAGCATCAATAGCCACGGACGGATCTGCTGCCAATGCCGTCAACGAGAGAGGTGCTTGCCGCCTTGGCCATGCATGATGTAGCGATGCGGGCCTTCCTGCCAGCTCCAGAAACGTGCCGCCGCAAGATCATCTTGCGTAATATCACGCACCTTGCCGCGGCACATGGTAGACTCCATCGGAGAAGCAGCCCTGCTACGTTGGGGAGGGGAGTATGTTGCCCATACGAGATTCTAGAACGGGGTGATCGGCACTATAGTGTGATCCGGCATGTTCCCCGACGCAAGAGACAGCGCTTGTCAAGCTACACATATAGTAGTGCCTTTTTCTTCTCTGTCTGCAGGATCCGCACACGCAACGGCTTTTTTGAACCCTTCCCTTTATCCTGCACGACGCATGGGCTTGGCTCCCTGGCCAACCGAGCCATGTGGGCTCTGCGCCATACTCACTTGAGCCTGGTGTTCGAATGCTATACCTCCGCCTCCCCGTCTATCACACGTCATTAACAATCACACCAGTGCAATGGCTTATGCTGACCCCTGTGCAACGGCCTTGGAGTCTCCCACATGACTGATATCAACCCAGGAAAAGAGGAGCCGAGTATACGATATAGACCCACTTTCTACGGAAGGACACGCGATGGCGCCGGCATATCGATATCGAGACCGCAATGCCTTGGCTATGCCCACGAAAAAGGCTCACAGGAGCAGAAGCTGCCGTACCTCTGTGCTGAAAATAGTCAGTGCCTGCACATGCGGTCCATCTGCCGGGCTCGGCTCCTATTCGACGCAAGATAGCCCTAACCTGCCGATCGCCTTACACAAACACCACTGGCGGCTCCGGCTTATGCACAATCTGAGCTGACTTTCCCATCGACTATCTGCCAATCCGCCCTCGAGCTGGCTTTGTCGTGGTGTTTAGGGTTCACCAATCGTATCTCAGGGTTCGGCACGTTCTGTTGCAGCTCTCCCGGCGCTCTGCAATTATACATCTGCTTAGCGAACGATGCATCATCAGCTGCAGTGGTTCGGCTTGTCGGTATATGCAAGGCTCACCATGGTGCGCTCAGCCGCCGCGCGCGGTCGCCAACAGGGTAGGCCCTTTGCCCTGCTCATTCGCTAGGCACTGGCAGATAACAGATGCACTTTCAAAGGCAGAAAGAGACCTCGGGGCTATGCGATGGGTGCTAAAGTCTGATGCACAGTGTGATGGGGGCTTATCGATCGTTGGAGGACACCCCCATCATTGTCTTTTTTCCACTTGCCCGTTTCCTCTGACGAATACGCGTATAGAAGATCACCGAAGCGACGTTTCCAGGGATCGATCCATTATGAACTTTGTTAGATTGAGTAGTAATCACGAATTGCTTCTCAATACCGGGCCACAAAGCCCTCGGTCTGGGTCATATGACTGGCCCTCCATCTCCAGGAGTCCCGGGGGTTCTGCGAAGGGAAACCATTCCGGGTTCTGTCACGTTTTGACAGGCTCTGACAGGGGTTGACACATTGCTTTTTCCGCAAGCGAACCTGCGTCCTCGAAACTCTAAACATATGGATAGGCATGCACGTAGATCGCCATCGCCCTCTCCAGATCGTGCGTCCTGTTTCTTTGTTGGTTTGCCTTCTCGTTTGCCCAGTTGCGCGAAGAACCGGCAATTCCTCTCCATGGCCAGAGGCTGCCAACCTTGAGCGAGCGACCGTTCTCTGAAGCCATCGAGATCCATACGTCGCCACTTACAGTTTCAAGCTGGGCATAGATGGCGGACTGCTCCGAAATAGACATTTCCTTGGTATGTGGGAGTTTCTCCTGAGGTTGCCGCTCTCAAAGTCAACGTCTCTCGCCCTATAGGGGTTTTATATTTGGCCCAACTGCACTTTGATGATGGATCATTTCGAATGAGACTATGTTCTGATTTGGCTTACTATCGTTAGTGGTTGACACGTGCCCCGTGAAGGCAGTTGCGTGTAAATCATGTGCAAACGACAACAGCCGTGTGCCTACTCTCCATGTGTAAAACGCCGAGGTTGATAATTGGAACGTTCATAATGTGGAGTTGACCTGTAGGATTGAAGTTCAAATTTGCAATCGCTGGGGTTGTGGCATCAAATTTTTAGTTGCATTGTTTGCTCTATGTAAGATGCCAATCCTTGGAGGCATAGTCAAATGCCCCCTACTCAGAGCCGAAGAACCACGAAATGGACCGCCAGAACCCATTCATCCTTCCTGCAAAAAGCCATTACATTGCCTGATTCACAATCTGAGTAGCGAAACCCTAATACGTGTCGGTGGACCCAAACGACTGAAATGCGCGAGAAACCGGTTCCGCATCCAGCAACCTCCTTCTCTTAGTATGCTCACTCCCACGGAGCGGGTTGACAAGTGGTCTGCGTATCCATTTTTACTAAGGGATTGATGTTAGCGTGCGCCGTCAAAGTTCACAACATATTCTGAATACGTACCATGATACCATCGTCCATAGGTGCGTCGCCATTCGTGGCAGCTGCAGGAGCTCCGCCGTTGGCGTTCTCGCCCTGGTTGCTGGCAACAAAGTAGTCTGCCATCTCACTGTCCAACTCCTCGGCTGTCTTCTTGGCAGGTCGAGCGCTGCGGCCACCACGGCCTCGCTTAGCACCACGACCCCGGCTAGCACCAGCAGCACCAGCATCCTTGGCAGCAGCCTCCTTCTTCTTGTTGGGAGCAGCCGACTTGGGTTGAGACTTTGGCTGTGTGACGCGCTCGGTCAAAGTCTTGGGCGGTGGCGCAATCTCAGCAGCCTTGTCGCCGCTGACAATGATCTCGATGCGGATGGGCTTGCCATCAACGTGGAGGCCATTCAGCTTGTTGTAGGCAGTGGAGGCGCCATCCCGCTTGGCGAAGATGATGGTAGCAATGCCACGGCTCACGCCTCCGGGGCCGTAAGACAATTCGGCCTTCTTGATGGATCCAACTGAGGAGACAAAGTATTCCTATTGACAAGAATTTGGAGGTTAGTGATCGGAAATTTCTGATAATTGTTTCATCGGCATCGCAGTACGTCGAACTTCCGGCATCGGGCCACGGAACCAGCAGGGAATGTACCACCCTCAAATTGCAGAACCAAATTTCAGCGTCAACGAGCACGCAGTGAGCGTTAGTAAGGCCATACGCATTCCAGATGAGATGGCAACAGAGTGCAAACCAAGTCGCAATCCATAGAACATGGAGAAGTTGCAAAGATGGCCGCCTCGTCCCGTCGCCCCCAAAACTAGCATTGCACCCCCAATCGCAACCACCAGCTAGACCCGTTCTCGCAAGCCGTCCAGGATCCGGGATTTTGTCCGCTCCATAGTCATCGAACTCCAGACATAAGCCAACCTGGACACACATGCCCTAAGAGAGTGGCAGGAAGATGAAGTTTCCAACATCAACCAGCCTCTCGGCATCAAGACTATCACCGACCCACAGTCTTGACCCGATCCCCTATGTGCTGGTATCTCTGACTATGTGTATGGATTTTTGCATGCACCCATAGGCCGAAGCAGTGTAGCACCAACACTGAGTCAGCCGAGTGACTGCGATATATCTCGTACTGGTGGCCTGGTATGCTGTTCATGCTCACTGCAGTGCTCGCCGGAGAATTGAGTGCCTCGCGTCAAGGACTTCACTATAGTCCAGGGAGTGAGGGAGCATCAAGCTCTGGCGACAAGATTTGCATGTCTTCAGCGCCATAGTCGACTTATCCACACGTTGCGTCTCGTTTACAAAGGGTTGCCAAGCCCTGCAGAGAATATGATGCAATCATTGTGCGATACGATAAGGACCTGCTCAACTTCCGACAGTCGCATTCCAGCGGACTGGGTTACGGAAGGAGACTGGGCAACACGACAGCTTCGTCTAAGCCACATGGAGCGCCCGTGTCTGCACACAAGGCGGTTCGTTCGGTTCAAAGGTTCGCGCACGCGAATGAAGGAAGAGGTCGATGAAATTCCACCGGCATGACAAAGCCTCAATGGAAACATACCTTGATCTGAGCCTCCGTCACATCCTTGGGCTGGGGCGGGGTTAGCCTGGTCATTCGGGACGAGGTTCGGATTAGAGAATGCTCACAAGGTTGCTGACAACGACTTTGCTGTCGCCGGGGCCTCCGGAAGCCTTGGCAGGAGCCTGCTTGGTGGCGGTCTGGGGCTTCTTGGAGTTCTTCTGCACGCCGCCCACGGGTGCAGTGGTGGTGGGACGGCCGGAGGAGCGGCGCGTAGCGCGGCCACGGCGGCCGCCAGCCTTGCGCTGGGAGGAGACGATCTCGTCCAAAGACTGGTCGAGCTTGCCGGACATGTTCGCGGTAGATTTGTTCGGTGTGGTAGTGTACTTATCGATTGGGATGAAGGTGTGTTGAAGCAGCAAGCTGACGAACGGCTGGCTGGAGTTGCGCGTACGTTATTAGGTAAGAGGTGGCGTTGGCCTTCGCGATATTGATGGGATGCGAAGAGAGGTGCAGGCAAGCGATGAGGATGCAATGAATCCTCGTGCTGGAGTCGTCGCGTGGGAGGGATCTCTGACTGAGGCGGCGAAGATGGCTATTATGAGCGTTCGCTCGATGAAGATGGTATGGGTGGAAACGTCAGTTCGAGTCGCGGGGGCGCGTCAGAACTGAGTGGATACGGCTGCGCAAGTTGGATGCTGCCGGGAGAAGTGAAACTGGAAGAAAACTGTCTGGCGGCAGTCCGGAGAAGTTGAGCGAAGCCGAAGAAATTGACAGTGAGTTGGTCGGTGGTGAAGATGGGGAGTTTGGGTTGGGCTGAGCGACGTTGGGGGAGAAGGGAAAGGGAGAAGTCAGAAGTGAGAGGTGAGAAGGAGTCGCGAAAAGCTGGAGGGCAGCAGGCAGGAGCTGGGCAGGCAACCCAAGGCAAGCGAGAGACAGAGCGAGAGAGAGAGAGGCGCAGGACTGGCAGGACCGGCAGGGGGCAAGGGGCTGGCCACTGGGAAGAGACCAGAAAACGGGGACGGCGAGACAACAATCCCAGCCAACCAGCCCCCGAGCTTCGCACCCAAGCTCATTTAGGCCAGGCCCACAGGCGCGCTGGGGCGCTGTACGGCTGGCGAGGCACTGAAACCACAGTGCCCTCCAGCGCTTCCGGCCCAATGGGCGAGCACCAACGCCTATCGATAAGCCCGTCAGTGGCACAGCCACTCCGCACCTGGCTGAAGCTCACCATCGAGGAGCTGGCAGCTGCTACCGACGGGAGAGACCTGCTCCGTTAGCTGCCTTCATCTGTGTACAATGGGACACCTCCAGGCGAGGATAATGTATGAACAATGGAGACGAATGCACGTGAAGAACGACTAGTTGTCAAGAATGAAGCCTGTAAATAATTTCCAATTGACGCACGGCCGCGCATATTCACATTGCCATGACGGGGCCGAACCTCGGTAGGTAGGTAGTACGTGGACAGAACAGTGTGCTTGGTTATCTTGCCCGCCCATCGACGTTGACTCAAGATTCGCAGTGTCGCCATCAGCGATACATTTCCCCCATGATCCTTTGTGCTGTACGCAGGAGGGTAGAGAGCAGGTCATCAATCCAGTTCCTCATCATTCTTTCGCTCCTCAGACGGCCGGCACATGCCATCTCCTCGATTGCCCAGTGCCCGCAACGGCACAGCGTTGTCCGAACACCTGAACTTGGGTATCACGACCCCCTTGTGCCTCCTATGAATACATGTCGCATCCTCAAGTAGCCCGACTCAACCCTCCCATCACTTCGCTACGCTTGACGACTTTCCGACCGCAGGGGCTTGTTGCACGGGTTTGGCCTGGGCTGCCTTCTTGGCGAGAGCGCTGTCGGCCGAGTTGACCTCGAAGAAGTGGTAGACAACAATGAGGACCATGGCGACCGAGCCGAGGAAGATGGCCAGCCGGTAGAGATCGTCGTCGGAGATCATGGCGACTGGTGTGGTGCGGACGGCAACTCGATGGCTCTCGTTTATCGTTCCCAACGGGTCGCTAGAACTGAAGGGAACGGCGTCAATTGGGTGCCTGGATCATGTAGCAACGGCGAGAGCGACATGCACATACCTTGAAAGCGACGGTGCGACCAAATGTCAGTGTCGAGGTGGGCTTGGGGGAGAGCTGGGGCGGATTGCGCGTCTGGAGATGTGTTGCCGTGTTAAGGCCAGCTGGAGCTTGGATCGATGGATAATACCCCCGACCCTTGACGCCGGTCTGTTAGGCACGGTAGCGGTGCCGTCCACGGGTGCTACTCTCGACTTGGGCCAGATGGCGGTACGTACCTTTTCGGGGGACCAGTCCACGGGTGATTCTGCCCCCTTGGCCCCAGGCGACCGGGAGGCAGGCGCGACGCCGATTGATGCCAGCTGGGATCATGTGACGTAGTTTTGCACTGGGGGATTGACGTTTTGTCCGCCAGAAAAAGCCCCGCCGCCCACTAACAGCCCACCACTAGAACACTATTCTGACTGGAAGCAATTGCAACTTTGCCTCGCCGAACGACGAGCGCCTCCAGCCGAGCAGAGAAATTCACAGACAGACGCACTCGAGTCGCCCGCCTCTCTCAACCCCCCCGGTAGAAGCGGGCTTGCCATCACGCACGTTTGCCCCCGTCAGACATTCGGGGCCGCGAACCCAACCCGTCGGAATCTGAAATCTCTTAGCACCCGCCACCATGCCGCCCAAGAAGGATGACAAGGGCAAGAAGGGCCAGGCCGGCCCGTCCAAGGCCGTCGTCGACAAGACCTTTGGTATGAAGAACAAGAAGGGCGGCGCCGCACAGAAACACATCAAGCAGATCCAGTCCTCCATGAGCAACAGCGCCGAGGCCCAGAAGAAGGCCGCCCAGCAAGAGGCCAAGGCCCGCGAGAAGAAGGCACAGGAGGACGCCAGGGCCGAGGCAGCCCTGCTGCTCAACAAGCCTGCCCAGATTCAGAAGGTCCCCTTCGGTGTCGACCCCAAGACCGTCGTCTGCATATTCTACAAGAAGGGAGACTGCGAGAAGGGCAAGAAGTGCAAGTTCTCCCACGATCTGTCTCTCGAGCGCAAGACGGCCAAGATCGACCTGTACGCCGACAACCGTGCCGAGGAGGAGGAGAAGAAGAAGGCAGAGACCTCGGCCGACTGGGACGAGGAGAAGCTGCGGAAGGTCGTCCTGTCCAAGAAGGGCAACCAGCAGACCACCACCGACAAGGTCTGCAAGTTCTTCATCGAAGCCATCGAAGACGGCAAATACGGGTGGTTCTGGATATGTCCCAACGGCGGCGACAAGTGCAAGTACAAGCATGCTCTACCACCAGGGTAAGCCCTCTTCATCCCTTCCTCACTTTGTCCCACTGTACTAACACTTGACTTCCCCCCAGCTTCATCCTCAAGACCAAGGAGCAACGCGCTGCCGAGAAGGCCTTGATGGACAAGTCTCCACTCAAGACGCTGACCCTCGAAGAGTTCCTGGAATCTGAGAGGCACAAGCTCACTGGCACCCTTACTCCCGTGACGCCCGAGAGCTTCGCCAAGTGGAAGCAAGACCGTCTGAGCAAGAAGGCCGCCGAAGAGCAAGCCAGGAAGGCCAAGGAGGCCACCGGCCGAGCCCTGTTCGAGAGTGGCGACTGGCGGTTCCAAGAAGAGGCCGGTTCCGACGACGAAGGAGACGACGAGGACGATATCTGGAACCTGCAGAAGATGCGCAAGGAGACCGAAGCCCTCCGCCAGAAGAAGGAGGAGGAGCGCCTGCTTGCCGAGGCGGGCTACACGACCCCGGCGGGGGCTGTCGCGGCCGAGTCCATCACCAACCCGTCGGAAGTGGGCGACGCTGCATGATTTGGTTCTCTGGAGAAGGGTTTCACACGAAGCATGGCGCTTAAAAGTTACGGCAGAAGACGAGATGGATCAGGGGCAAGCCGAGAGAGAGAGACTACATCAGCGGGTTGCGCCAGACCAGTCGTTTGATGCAAATGTCGTTGAGCATGTGTGCCTGCCTGTCGCCCCTCCGAAGTGAGCCGGGCAGCATGATGGGGAGGTAGCAGCAGCAGTACTACATCAGGCCGTGAGGCCTTGTCCCTAAGCTAGTATGGATCTACACGAATCTAACGGGTTCAGTGACCCCTATTCCGGGGTTACTCTAGACATATCATCACACTTTTCATGCCACCCGCTCATCCCCGTCGTGTCAAACCGAGTTCCTGTGATATTGCCACTTCAGTGTAGGGATTACACATCTGCTAGGAGTTGCAATGTCGTGCTCACGCTTCCATTTCACCAATAATGGCTGTTGCTCTTTTCGGAGGTTGCTGATAGGGCTATATTCCACCAGACAGACTACAGGTTCAACTGTAGTCCATGTGTATGCAAATTTGCCAGAGTGCTGTCGCTTTTGCATCGAAGGAGCCAGAAGGAGTAGCAAATCCACAAGAACTTTGCATACTCACAAACAGCTACACCTATATCGGGAAGTATACAGAACATCGCATAGCAGCTCTTGGGCGTTACACTGCAAATAAGCCAGAAAGTAGAAGTCACCAAGTACAAGTCAGCCGTGGAGTGGCGGCCTGGTGCACAGCGAGCGTCACAGCGGAATGAAGATATCAAGTGCGTAGCATCGTCGGATCTGGGAGCCTCCGCCTGTACGCCAAGGGCCATGTCATTCACGTAGCTCAGTCGAAATTATGAAGATGTTGCCCATGTGAGCAGCAGGAACGAGTAATTGGGGCTTGACATAGAAGGCTCGGCACTTTAGTCCACACCCGAAGCGGGACAAAATGTAGTTTGAGAAGTGGCTTCAAGGCGTCACGGATATAGTTATCTATATGCGATTTAGCCACCTAAGAGACCGCCATGCAAGGGAAGTCACTTGGCGAGAGTAAATACACGATGCCAGTGCTGTCTGTTCATGTCAAAATGTAGTCTGCTTCGATTGTCCTATGTAATCCAGCCTTGGAAGAAAAAACAATGGGCCTAGGTTTCCTGTTTCGACACCATATACCCCGCCCCATCGTGAACAGTATAATTTTGTTCTGTATCTGTAAACCATCAATCGCTCTCCAATATGCACCTGTATTGTACATGACCCAAGCTGTTCCATCTAAGAACATCTGTGGGCTTCCGAGTAACACTAACCGGCCGATCATTCATCATACCATACCAGTCATTGTCCTTCCCCTCGCATATTGACAATCAATCCGACCAAGCTCTACATCCGGGTGTATGAATAATAATTTGTAGCGGTTGCGAACAACGACCTTTAGGACTGGACGTCAAATGATGTGAAACTCAGAACCTCACCCACCAGGTGAGAACAGAGTTATCAATGGCAGACCCTATACTGCCAAAAGCGTGGACTGCCGTGCGAATTGCACCCAACGCCGGGTCCGGCTGCGCTGACGCAATTGTACAGTTTCGATGAAGAGTGTACCAGCTAGAGCAGGTACACACGCCATAATCCTTCGTTCTTTCGGTTGCTTTGACTCTTCCAGGAGTATTTTTTTCCCACCACATATAAAACTATGCAAGCGGATCACCGAAAGTTGATAATCGCCAGCTAGATTGAAGTCAGCATAGTTGATGGGGCGCTTGGCTGCATGAGCGATCGGGTACTTACTCGGCTATTCACACCGAAAGCAAGCCTTTGTCCTGTTGCATCCCAACAAAGGCAATGCTCCTCCTCCATTTCCGTTTCCGCATTGTCGCGCGGGCTAAGCCAACCGGGGTGTGGAGATCTATTCCAGCTCGCCCGGGGAATACTGTGGTCACCAACTTTCCATATTAGGATTCTTTCGTGCGTCGCGCCAGCGATGAAGGCGCCATCGGGGGTAAAGGACAGGGCGACGATAGGTTCGTCCATTGTCATGGAGCACTTGGGTTTGTTATCGGTTGACCGCGCATTCCAGATGAAAATAGCGCCGTCTTCTCCACCGGATGCGATCAGTCGTTCCTCTTCAGCCGCTGGTTGCTGCGGCAGCGGCTGCCATGCCAGCGCGGTGACTGCCCCATCGTGTGCTTTAATATCGCGCCGTTTGCCCGACGCATCCCAAATCTGTAGGTATGCCAGTCAGTATGGGATGGATTAGTCAATGAAAGTAAGAACGACTCACATCAACGAAGCCTCTTTCGCTGCACGTAGCGAGCAACGTGGACATGGAGTCAAACTGGACCTGGGAGAGGCTGTCGCCTTCTCGAGTCTCAAACTTCCGAGGCGATTCAACGATTCCATTTGTTTCACATTTCAACAGAGTCAGGACCTGACCTCCGCAGAGGATTATCTCACTTTCACTCAGCCAGGCAGCGTCGAGATCCGTGTGATCCGGCAACACGTGGGAAATCGAGTTCGAGGTCAGGGCATGATACACGGTCACGAGAATGCCGTCGTTCTCCGGTGCGATGCACAAGATGGCGGCGTTATTAGGGCTCCATCGCAGCTTGATGATGGGGGCTTCGGGCACCTCGAACTGTCCAACGGGGGCTCCGTCGGCGCTCCAGAGGCTGATCCTGCCCTTGGTGTCAGAGTCGGTAGCCACTGCAAGGGTCGTGCCGTCTGCATTCCAGGCCATAGCAGTCACGTTGGACTTGGGGTTGATGTCATCCCCTACCACGCTGTGGAACGGTGGGATGGTGCCGTTCACGTGATTCGACGCAGGGTCCAGCGTCGGGTCGGCGGTCGTCGCACGCGAGATGGTCCAGATGCGGGCTAGCGCGTCGGTTCCACCAGCCGCCAAGATCGTTGCATCTCGGGGGTTCCATTGGCAATGTAGCAGGACGGGCGCGTTCTCGCCCTGGTTCCTGGAGGCCGTCGACGGCGACGAGAGGGCTGACGACTCTTCGGCGCCCAGAGGGATGAAGATGGTCTGGGTGGTGAGTTCCTGGACCTTGTCGACCTGTGTGCCCTGGTCGGGGCCGTCAGTTCGCGGGATGGGGGTTGGCGCTTGTTCGCCCTCCAGGGGGGACGGGTAAGCGTGGTTGTCGCTGCCGCCATGCTGGCCGTCCAATTCCATGGGGTCTGTGGCTGCATCCACACCATTTTCGTAGCCGTTGCTCAGGCGAGGCCGCTTGGCTGGGGAACCGCCATTAAGCTGCGGCTGCTGTGGCCGGTCAAGCTGGCGCTTTCGGGAATTTTCGAGGTCCTCGATTGTTTCGACCTCGCCTTCGGCATCCTCCTCAGGGTCGTGTTCCTTCTCCTCCGGCGGCTGCGGTTGCTGCTGCTGCTGCTGCTGCTGTTCATGTTGCAATGGCCGCGCCTGCAACGGGCCAAACACCCCTAGCTGCATCGCCTCGGCCAGTGCCGCTGCATTTTCCTGAGGCACCTGCACGGCTTCTGTCAGTGCCTCGCCGCCGCTGCTGGGCTGGATCTGGATCTGGATCCGCGCAATCCTGTGGAAACATGTCTGCTGCCTCCATTCGCATTGCGCGCGAACGGACTCCGCTTCCATGTCTCGCTACAGTAGATGCATCGCCCCGAGGGGGGTTTTTGAACACACTTACCTGCTGTGCATACTCTCTCTCCAGTGAATTGTAGATCAGGCCTTTATTCAAAACATTGACCAGCGCATGGCTCTGGACATGGCGCGCAAAGTCCAGCTGCCGATGCGGCTGCTCCTTGTGCCACTCCTTTTGAAATTTGACTGCCGTCTCTCGATAATCTGCACGCTCAGGTCAGTTTCGTCACGCATTTCCACACCACAACAACAGATGTGCTCTAGAGCGCCGGCTGCTGATGTTGCGCCGCACACTGCCGGGACTGGATTCTGCTCATGCTGGTGACTGTCACGTACTTCCTTCTATGAGATACCTGGCACCGACTGTTAATGGCTACGTCTCGCGATGCATGGGGGCATGGAAGGCGTGGTTGGTGTCGGGATGGCGAGGCGAGGTGCCCCGGGTCGGTGAAAACGTACCTCCAAATTAGAAAATTGACTCTGTCCGAGTCTAGGTGCTCCTTCATCGTGGGCTCGCACTTCGGGCCGCTGCTCAGGCTGGCAAAATCGAATCCGGACCTTCTCCGTGCTGGCTCAGTAGCGCGCGAGAGCGACTCGGGGATAATCAGGCGGGCGTGAACGTTGAAATCTGAAGATGTTGAAAACGGGAAGAATACATGAATGAGGGAGGGAAGTCTAAGGCCGTGGAGGTCGATCAAGGTGCTTGGCTCTGGTGGCCCCAAAACGGGCCTAGTGCGTGCAATCCCATTAAAAACGGTACAAGCCTACTGCAGACACTGGAGGTACCCGCTTCAGCAGCATTGCAGACAATTCGATGTGACTGGGGTCCGGACGAGGCGACAGCGCCGCCGCTCGCCCACGTCCTGGCTCCTGGCTAGCGACGAAGCTTCTCCGGCGCCGCGGTTGGATCGACCTAGAGAAAATCTAGATAATGCCTACCAGATGGAGGGGTGAACCGCTGTGTCCTCAACGGCCATCAGCACGCAAGGAGCAGACCGCCATGTCCAGTGTGTATTGGGCGCGAGCACGGCTTCTCCCAATCGAACCGCAGCCGTTATCAGCTTGATCTTCTCGTTATGCGTCCATCCAGTGGAGGTTTGGGCCCTGGGGACCAACTGACACAATGATCCTTCCCTAGGGTCCATTTGAAGAACGCTGCAGGCGGGTACCTCCAATCCACCACGGGCAAAGTACCTGTCATCATCGACCCAAAGCTTGTGCCCACCTAGCATGATTTGCATCGTCACCTCACCTTGCTGCATGCCCTCCACGCAGATACTGTGGGAATTATGAGGGCCGGATATCGACATGAAGCGACACTCTACATCTGCATGCATTCTTTCCCTTTCATGATGGCTGAAGACAGTCCTCGCGTGGGAGTCATTTCCTGGCTGAGGACTTATCGGTCGACTTGGGAGAAGACTGCACCCATGACCGTTTCAGCACCACAATTCTCACCTCGGTGCGCCGGCAGCGATGCCTACTTTGGTTCGGTCCTGCTTCATGGGTCCTGCTCGTGCTGGCTTTTACCGCTCACACTACAGGCAATTGGACCAAGTCTCAAAAGATTGGCGGCTGTTATGTATGTACTGTAGGCTTGCTTCTCAGTCCTTTTTGGCCCTGTGTTCTTTTCCGTGTGGAGGGGGTGCTCCAACGCCAACATGCCGTTGCTTCTAGGATTAATCCGTCCGTGCGGGTTGTTTGATTTTGCTGGAACAGAGCAGTGGGAACGGATCTTTGAGCAAGAGTTCGACTTGGACGACTGTCTAGGGTACCTAGCCTTGGCTGTCTCCACCAAATCCGTCTGGGGTCCATCGGGCCCTACTAGTTAGGTTTTAACTCGTGCGGCGTGCCTCTTCGGCAAAGAGATTGGATCAAGCATAAGGTACTTGGTAAGCTGGGCTGAAGCGACGGGATCCAGGATCTCCTTCACGCGCGCCTGTATAGCAGGCCTGCCATCACTGTATGGCGTGCCCCAGCAGTTCGCTTCGCCCTATGCAGAGGAGCTGTTTTGAATATTCGCTGGAAACAACTTCGTTGCATTGGATGGCCGGCCAGGGTTGGGTTCCAGAAGGTAGCGCCCCCTCGGCCAACGATAAATGAAGGGCCTTGCCAGGCACCAAGTGCGGGACTACCTCCGTGAAGGGCAGAAACATTCCAGGTCCATGATCGGCAGAGCGAATCGCAGCAGGTGATCGCTGTACATCCGGCTGTGTTCTAAATGCGGTTTAGCGCATGACCCTTGATCATGCTTCACGCATGATGTGGTTTCTTAGCGAGCAGTTTGCTTCCTTCGAGTTGATGCTCGTGGCGATGTGATAAAGGACGATGAGAAATCTGAGGAAGATGAGCGCAGAATCAGATGCTCTTCGCGAAAATGTGCGTAGTGGAAGCCAGGGAATTCGGGGACAAGCGACAATGTCGTCGACTCATGCCAAGAACCATCCAGATGAGAGGGTTGGTACCTAGGCAACCGGTGGAAGGATGATGCTGGAGGTCCGTACAGAGCCCGCTACTATGTAGGTATGATACAGTTTGTTCCTCCCACAAGTGCACGTGACGAGTCCCGGAGATTTGAATGAGTGCGCTGTAAGCTATTGGTAGCGCTCTTCGATGTCTGGAAATCACAATGATCTTGGGCTGGGGTTTGTACAGTACTCGTCACGTTCAAGTCGGACCGGGGCAAGCCCCAGCGTCCCGGGCTGCCTTGTTCCAGAGCGCAAAGTGGCTCGTGTGGCTGGTGTCTGTCCAACAGCCACACCGGTTCGGATCATTTCCGTTCTCAGGCGCGCGACCCCCCCAGAACCGTGTCCGGTTACGATGCTTCAGGGAGCCCAAGATAAATAATTCCGACCACTTTGTGAGCAGAGCTCAACGTCGTGAGCCAGCGCAGTCACCATGCCCGCCCGAATAAATATACCCCCGGTCACCCGAGTGCTCTTGATTGCACTCCTCTTGCAATCCGTCCTGAGCGCAGCGGTGCGCTATCGACAATGGTCGGCCAACTCGGAGATCGTGGTCGAGTGGCTTACACTGGTCCCCCAACTGTCGCTCTTCTATCCCTGGACCTTTGTCACAACTACTCTGGTAGAGAACAATATATTCACCCTCGGAATTGCTGGCTTGACCATCTTCCAAGGTGGTCGCTACCTTGAGCGGGCCTGGTCCTCAAGGGAGTTCGCCAAGTTCCTTCTGGTGACATTGCTTGTCCCCAACATTCTCTCCTTCCTGGTACTGGTCATGATGTTTACTCTCACGCGCAACGAGAGATGGACGTAGGTTCCCTCTTGGCACACTCTAACTCTTTCCCTTGGCTGCTCCCAGGACTGACACCCCTTGCCTTCTTGCAGCCTCACCACCGTTTCGGGCACGATCCCGCTCCAGATCTCGTTCCTCGTGGCCTTCAGTCAACTTGTCCCCGCCCATACCGTCACGCTGTTCCGCGGTATTGTGTCACTCCGTGTACCTCGAATCCCTCTGATACACCTGGGGGTAGTGACTGTGCTCTCCTTGACCCCGATTCTCTCGGTTGCTCATGTCCTTTTGGCCACTTTCGGACTTCTGACTAGCTGGACATACCTGCGATTCTACAAGACCGTCTTTCCCGATCTTGACTCGTCTCAGCCAACTTCGATGCGAGGGGATGCCAGCGAAACGTTTGCGTTCGCCGAGTTCTTTCCCGGCCCCGTCAAGCCGGCTGTTGCAGCGTTGTCGGACCAGGTTTTCAACGTTTTGGTAGCCATGAAGGTCTGCACTCCATTCTCGGCAGCAGAGGTTTCTGCAGCACACGGCGGTGGCTTCATACAGAGAGGCGCCCCTGGTGGCGTAAGGGCCGAGGCAGAGAGAAGACGGGCACTTGCCCTCAAGGCCCTAGACCAGAGGCTGCATGCCGCAACGGGGACCACCGGCCCTCGAAGTCAGTCCCAACCTCCAAGCCATACGAGCGGTCCAACCGTGTCGACACAGCCGCAGCCTACGCAGACTGCCATGACTTCACAACCGGCAGCTCTGTTGGGAGAGACGAATTACGTGCCTGACCAGGATCACATGGAGAAGCACAGCTCTTGAGTATTTCTTATCTCAAGCATGGGGTCTGGCGTCTGACGGTGTCTTGTGTTTGTATACTATGGTCAGCATTTCAGCATGGAGTAGGCTTAGAGGAGTCGGTCGCTTACCGTCAACGAGCGAACAACAAAATCGCCGCAGGTGATGCACGGTTTCCTCTATAATGAGATTCTGGGTTATGAGAACTGTCTTACGCATCTGTAATTACACTCGCGACTGGAGGGGATATAGTTCTTGTAGAGCTACACGAACCAGGTTTTCTATATTTCGGAATGACAGTCTGGTCTGCAGCAAACATACAGAGCGCATTACGTCGAGATAGCATGTATGGACATTCTTGGACCAGAACTTCAGCGACAACGTGCGAACGTGGCTTCTGTGAGCAATTCCAAAGCAGCCCAGAATGATATAGTCCACTGTACTGTATTTACCTAGCCTATGTATAGGTGGTTCGGGTTGTCGGAGTATTGTAGCATTTCCGGTAAATTGGTCTCTTCTTGGTCTATTGATACTACATGGCACTTAGAAGCTTTCCAAGTTCAGTGCTTAGAGCATATTGTTGACGTCCAAGTCGAGAACTCCTTGCATGCATCGATCACCTCCAGTACAGTCTTTCGAGCAGTGCAACGCGGGTGTGATGCTAGATATCTACAATCACGGTGGAATGTAATCCAGGGAGGACTAGCTAGACACTGTATATGTTCAGTTATGCGTTTAAGCGCGGAAACCCCCGCAGTCGTCTCGTCACCTAAACCTCACGATATACGGAACCACATGATTACGTTGAGGGCAAGACCGTGCGCATCTCACCTCAATAAGAAGTGACTTAAGAAAAATATTATTCCAACGCCCCCTTAAGCCACCATCTGTTCTCATATTGGGAGGCGCAGATAGGGCTCTCGGGAATGCTCGGGCCAACGGACCCAGCGCAGTCTAGAAAATAAGGGTGTCTCAAAGCAAGAGATGTCGTCTTTATCCTGTGCTTGCCTGTGGCATGCGCTGGGAAACCGTCCTCAAACCGGGCCAGGGGTGCCTCTTAATATCAACTCCGTCGCACCGCAGCAGAGCACGGCAGGATCGGCTGCGTACATAATGCAGACACACAAGTACAGTACTGCTCGAGGGGAGTTGCACTCGCACGGGCAGCCCACCTGTCATCCTCACCCAGCGCATCGCGTTGCGGCAGAACGTTGGCTAGGGCCGCGGAGAGGTGTGTGGAGCGCAGCTTCGCATGTCCAGTGTCGCCAGCGCGGGCGGGCGTGTAGTGTGTGGTGTGTGTGTGTGGTGTGTCTCGGCCGCCCAGACCTGCCGGAAGTTGACAAGTGCGTGGGTGGGTTGGACGGCGGACAAACCAGGCGATTGATTGAATCCCCAAGGATCTCGGGAGCGACCTTGGGCGTGTTTTAGGTGGCCACGCCTGCTTTCCACTCAATCGATCCGATCTACCCAACCCCTGCGCGCCGGCCCTTTTGTCGCTCAACATGTTCCTCTCCATCTTTCCCCATCCCACAGAATCTGGCTGCCATGCAGGCTTGCCTAAATTAAGCTGGCTCGTTTCACGCTCCGGTCCTCGTCCGTTTAGCGAACCAAGTGCCGCAGCCTACTTCTCCAAAGCCACCCACTCACCGCAGCCACGGTGATGGTGATGCTCATCTACCAGTTACCATGTTTCGACCCGGAGCATACCGCGATGAAGGACCCCGTCACTCAAGCCTTTTAGGTGGTTGCCTATCTTATGGAATAAGCCGCTCTGGTGGGAAACGGACCACCGCGGATCCTTGTCCACCCCCTTACGCAGTTGCAGCTGTTGTGGTGAAAGCTGCGGGGATCAAACGAGAAGGCCATCTCGTGAGTTGCAAGGCTTTCGTGCCAAGACGTTCGGTAGAAGGACTGATTCGTGAACGGCCCTGGCGCGAGTAGGAGCCAACTCATCTGACGCAGAGGCTAAGGCGAGTCTCATGGTGGAAAGGTGCAGTGGTGGGTGACTATCTGCTTTCGTGGCTTGCCCGAAAGAAAACGCCGCCGCCGCCGCCGCCGCCGCCATCGCCTGGGGCGCGCCTCTTCGGCTTGTCTTGTCTCGCAACGCACTGACGATGATGGAGGCGGTTGCAGGGGTGCCACACATGGTGGACTGGACCTAGCCCTGCCGCTCGCCCAGCATGCAGGATGAGGGTGGCGGGCAGTTGGTGTGTGTGTGGAGCTGCCGAAGCACCTCTTCCACTTGTGGCACGTCAACGTACCGACTTTCTAGCTTGGCGAATGACGGCGATGCATCAACGGTCTGCATATGCGTGAGATGCAGCACAGAACACATACAAAATCTGGGTGGGAGCCAAGCAGCCACTAACCAAAGGGGACGCGGTAAGCCCCAGACTCTCCTTCCTCGCTGGCCACGAACCCTCGCATGCATGTGTATCCGGTTAGGTTCGTGTTCGCCGCCCCCTTGATTCTGCGGCCATAATTGCTCCTAAACGTTAAGGTTCCTGGTAATTCGCAGACGGGATTGCTTCCGTCGGGTTCAAACCCTTCTCCTCGACCCCAGCCAGTCAGCCTAGGTGCTGTGCCTCTCCAAACCTGCCTAACGGTTCCAATCGACACTATATCTACGTCGTAGCCGGAAACATGATGCACAACCGCAATCATATGCCAGTCGATCATGCTTTTGATGACCCCTGACACGAATCTCCAACTATGCCGCCATCACCCAAATGACCAAACAATATAACATAGATTGATAGGGCCGTAATCTGATGGTTGCTTGCACTGACTTTCTCGGGATCGCCCTTTGTACAAAGACCCCGTTTTCAATTCGTGGGAATTTCAGACTCGTGGCTGAGGCCGTTGAGCTGCCAAATCCCTAGCATGACGAGTCATTACTACACTCAGACGCCCCAGCACTCGTTGGATTGCCATTTTGACAGCCTGGCATATGGAGACCCTAGATCCAACACCTTCGAGTCTACCATCCTTACAGGCGCAAAGCTGCGATTCAGCCATAATTTGCGTTTTCGAAGGCTCTACCATAGTACTGTCAAATGCCAAAGTCTCGACGGGATCTAACTACTTAGCACGTGGCGATGATTGGGGGCACTTTGTTCCTCAATGAGCATAGTCCGGTACTCGTTTTACCGACGCCAAACTCTCACTAGGTTAAGCAACACATGCTTCCCCGCCAGAGATCAAAAAGGAGTATGATGAAGATCCAGCTTTATGCCAAGGAGACAGGAAACGTTGTCTTCCTGAATTAAGCGCCGGGAATGCCCGACAGATTCAGAGTATTGATTGCCTACGTGTAGGTATATGCACACAAGTACAGCCGGCACCTGAGGATACACGGGTAAGGTAGGATCGAAACACTGGGCTGATCTCAGGGCCGGGAGCTAGGTACTCTGATACCGATCAATACTGCAGCAGCATCCCAGCGGTTGGTTGTGTGATGTTCCTCGCAAGCGACGGGATGATCTACAGGAAGTGCTGCACAGAAACCCGGCAATGGCGGCTCGTCTGATACGATAGGCCCACAGACTCTACTGGTGAACTGCACCTGAACACAAGCTGGCGCGAAGCACCGGATCTACCTCGAAGCATAACACACCTCAAACTCTAGCAAGATGGGCACCGGTGATGTTTGCGATAAGAGTCCGAAGACGAATCTAGAATCTTAATGACCCTTGGTCCTGATGCCAGCGCGTCACTGTGAGTCCCTTGCCGCCGGCAGGAGCTGACACTTGTCACCGAACTCGGGTTCTGATGCAGTGAGCAGCATGGCACATGGTGTGCCTACGGGTCAGCCTGTTCAGCCAGGATGCACGATGCAAATCCTGTCAGCACGAGGGCCAAAACCAGCGGCGCAAAAATAGACTGACTGCCGTTCCTGAAGATTCTTCTGCAGGAACGATGAAGCTTGGGAAACGTTTAACTCTGGTCACTGTGGTTAGACAGCCGCAGTTTGTACCGGATCGATCTCATGGGCTCCAGGACGGGGCGGTTAAGTCCAAGTCTGCATCTGCATCTGCGTCCGACGAGAGTCGATCGGGGAAGGCTGGGGGCCAGAGGGGTGCAGAGTGTAGCTGCTTTTAGCAGGAGGTGGTGTGTGCACTCGGGCGCATCTGATGAATTTGGTGAGGATAAATACTCCGACCAAGATAAGCGTCCCTCAATTTAAATTGGATGGTGATGGACAGGGAGACGAAGAAGGCTGACGGCCCACGGGAGGGCCAGCTAAAGGTTAGGCCCAGGTGCGTGTCATCGGCGAGGTACCTTTGTACCCCCCTAGTGGTAATAAACGAGCGGGCTGGATCCGTCGCCACAAAAAAACCGGAGAAGGACCAAATTTGGAGGTGTCTCGGGAACATGGCGGCTGCAGAAGGGCAAGTCGACCAAAGTACCGGGCGCGTATTCTTCTCCAGGGACTCGTGCGTCCCCCCCCGTGCAGGTGCAGGGTCAAGGCAGGGTATCGACCACGGGCCACGTCCGCATCCACCCCATGATCCAAGCCCGCGGTCATTTCCGCCTTTGGGTAACGCAGTAACGTCACGAAAGTCCAAAAAGCAACACACAGACTTCTTAGTCAGAAACGGGATGCTTTCTGATCTGGCTTTGGGGTGCATGGGGATCGAAACCTACAATCAGCCTGTCGCCATCGGATTCAAGCGAGAGCCACGAGGGACCAAAAAGAAAACGAGCTACCTAGGCACTTATAGTGCTCGCGATAACAGTCAGGATTCGGGTAGACACTCCTGTCGCGCTTTGGTGGTGAGAAAGGGAAAGCATTACGGTAGTAGCACATCAAGGACCTACATAAGTAGCAGTAAACCGGTCAGTCTTTGCCCCCAAGTCAATTGCTCAACGTGGCTACGAACAGAAAGAAGTGTGTGTCCAGTAAACAGATGGGGGAATATTGAGTCATTAGGGCCAGCTTCGTGTGCTTTCGTCCGCTGCGCTACAGAGCCTCGAAGCATCAGAGATCGCGGCATGCCGTAGTTGGCAATCATTTGGCTAGAATAAGCCGACGAGGAATAACTACCTATGTGGACGCAGTCTAGGAGCATTGGAATAACGCTCAGTGGGTTGACAAACTGGTCTGTCTGACTCCCATGGCCGTGGCTGGGTCTGGTCATTACTTACGTGGTAATTCTTTACCGCTAATCTGTCCAGCCCAGAGCCCAAGCCCAAGCCCGTACATGCGGTACGGTACATCCACCCGACTGCTCGCGCTGCCATGAGCCTGTGACGAAGGAGGTCCCCACCTGCTTGCTGCACCCTGGCTAAATCTGCCATCTTAAGTGAAGCCGCAGGTACATGTGGATTGCCTTGGCCTGGGTGGATTGGAGCCGGCCCCACACAGCCGCCCCAGCGTGCCCCAGCTGGCTGAAGAGTACCTGGGGGCTACCAGCCGGCTACGCGCCCAAACTTCGACGGCTTGTTCTGGTCCAGGGGACGCACTTGCGCATGGGCTCCACATTAAATTACGCCAAATCCCAGCTTAGGTTGTTCCTCTCTCGTGGGTAAGGGTAGTTTGGCGAGAGGAGAATTATTCTGCGTCCCCTTCCCGAATTCCCTCGCCAGAGCAGTTCGTCCCTCCTCCCCATCACCCTCTCCTCCTTACCACCTATCGCCCGTCACCGCAGTCCGGCGCCGGGGAACAGTCAGCGACCTCAGTCGTCTCGTAGCACTGCACGAGACTCGCCCTCGCATCTCTCCTCCCGCCAGCCACCGAGCTATATCCCGTATTGGGCCCGGCAGGACCTCGTTCCCCCAAGTGCGGGTGCGACAGCAGCGTCATCTTTCGGACCGCGACCGTTGGGAGCTGTTGCATCTTGCGAGTTTAAACTTCGCAACGCCAACACTCCACCATCAACCCCCGGGCTCGACGCTCGGCACAACGGCGTATAATCGGGACTCTATCCTCATCCTCATTGTTTATTATTTGACTTCTTGGGCCTTTTTTTGCACTATCAACCCTCTCCACCCTAGTACCGACGTAGCAGCCTCGCTCCAGCCTTGCGCCAAGCTCGTCCCTCCAGTCTGTAGGCGTGCACTGCTTGTTCGAACCGGCCAGTAGACAGAAGAGGCGACCATGGCCAACCACCACCCGTCGCCCCAGATGCCGATGCAGATGCATCACGGCCCGCAGGGGCCCCCGCCCCCGGGGCCTGTCCACTATCCCACGGCGCCTTCGCGCCAGATCAACACTGTCAATGAACTGCTGTGGATGCAAATAGGTAGGCCGGCATATTGATTCTCGCACCCGTTAGAATTGCGACTAAATTCCATTGTAGGAAGCTTCTCGGAGCTTTTGGGTAGCCTCGACGATGCTATGAACGCATACGACCATGCGCTTCGAGCGAACCCGCAGTCCATCCCTGCGATGAACGCGATCAGTCTCATCCTTCGAACTCGTGAGGAGTTTCACAAGGCAGTGGAATACCTCCAAGCCATCCTCAAGATAGACGAACGGAACGGCGAAGTCTGGGGCAGTCTTGGTATGTGCTCCATGCCTTCTATACCCGTGACACCGCTAACCATGAAACCTAGGCCATTGCTATCTGATGATGGATGACCTGCAACAGGCTTACGCCGCTTATCAATCAGCTCTGGTCAACCTGCCAAACCCCAAGGTCAGTGACAGAATAGCAATTGTATATCCAGACATGGCAAGCTGACAGTCGCATAGGAACCTAAGCTTTGGTACGGCATTGGTATACTGTATGACCGCTACGGTTCATTGGAACATGCCGAGGAGGCGTTTTCTCAGGTCATGCAAATGCAGCCCGACTTTGAGAAGGCCAACGAAATCTACTTCCGCTTGGGTATAATATACAAACAGCAGGCGAAGTATGGTCAGAGCTTAGAAGTGAGTTCCTGCCAAGTCCTCGTCTCCAACCTCAAGCTGACGCACTATAGTGCTTTAACTATATTGTGACGTCTCCTCCTCCGCCCTTGACCGAGGAAGACATTTGGTTCCAGATCGGACACGTCCACGAGCAACAGAAAGACGTAAGTGCTAGGTTATGAACTCTGACGAATAGTCGACTAAAATGAACCCAACAGTACGATAGCGCCAAGACGGCCTATAGCAGAGTTCTTGATAGAGACCCGAACCACGCCAAGGTTCTGCAGCAACTGGGATGGCTCCACCATCAGCAGAGCAGCAGCTTCCAAAGTCAGGAACGGGCTATCGAATACTTGGAGAAGTCCGTCTCTGCTGGTGAGTTCCAATCCCGCGTATTCAACCAATTGAACAAAGACTAATGTGATCCGTAGACAACAACGATGCACAGAGCTGGTATCTCTTGGGCCGGTGCTACATGTCGCAACAGAAGTACCCGAAGGCATATGAAGCATATCAGCAAGCAGTTTACCGTGATGGTCGCAACCCGACCTTTTGGTGCTCGATTGGTGTGCTCTACTACCAGATCAACCAATACCGCGACGCGCTTGATGCATACTCTCGTGCAATTCGCCTCAACCCTTACATCTCCGAGGTTTGGTATGATCTCGGTACACTGTACGAGAGCTGCAATAACCAGATTTCGGATGCTCTTGATGCCTACCAGCGAGCGGCTGAACTCGACCCCAACAATCCACACATCAAGGCGAGACTGCAGCTTCTCCGCCAAGGCCAGTCGAGTGGTCAGATAGTCCAAGGTCCTGCCCCGGTACCCACCGACGTTCACCCGCAGTCTTACGGAGCTCAAGGACCTCAGGCACCCCAGTGGACGGGAGCTTCGTCTGCACCCCAGCAACAACAGCCCGGCCGACCTCCTGTCGGGCCTGGCGGGGCAAACGGATGGGGCCGACTATCCGAAGTCAACCCCCCTCAGCCTCCCAACCCGTACGACCAGAGAGAGCCTTTCCGGGGTCAGGCACCGCCTATGCCGCGCCAGCCCAGTCCCCGCCAGGAACCGCCAATGAGACCATATGGTGAAGCCAGCCGTCAAGGACCGCCTCCGGGTCCTGGTCCGATCCGTCGCGGTCCCTCGCCTGGTCCTCCGCAACACTACGGTGGCCCTCCGCCCCAGGGCCAGTCTCAACCGCCGCCGCCGTCTTCAGGACCACCGGCGCGGGTCAGCAACCCGAACTACACCCCAGCTCCCCTGGCAGGTATGCAATCTCAACCAAATGGCCCACCTAGCGGACCGCCCAACGGCGCACCTCCACCGCACTTGATGCCATACCGGGCAGGATCTCCCCGCTCGGAGTCTCGCCCTCCCATGCGTGACAGCCGCATGCCTTCTCCCAAGTCAGCGTACCCCCAACACCAACCCCCGCCGTACGGCCACCACCAGGAGCCAGCTGGCCCCAGCAACTTGGAGAACGGCCCACCAAAGCCGATGATGGGACCTGATGGTCCTATTCATCGTATTGATGAGCGCCCTGCTTCCGTTGGCCCCAAGAGGATGAGGGAGTGGGAAGATGAACCGTCGATCAAAAAGCCTGCTTCTGAGGAGAACCGGGCGCTCATCCACGACATGCGTCACCGACGCCCGTCAACCCCACTGAGAGGCCCTGAGCCGTACCGCCGGAATTCTCCGGAGGCTCACCGTTTCGAGGAGCAGCGGCGGCTGGATGAACAGCGTCGTGCGGAAGATCAGCGCAGAGCTGAGGACATGAGACGTGCAGATGACCAGCGCCACGGAACGGAACCCTACCACCCGTCCGAGGCTGCTCACCACCAGCCTGCGCATAACATGCCGGCCCACTTGCCTCCTATGCAGCAAGGACCCTCTCCGATGCAAGGAATCGTCCATGAGGGGCCTCCACAGGGACCCGGCCCAGCCCCACTGAAGGATTACCCACCACAGGACGAGCGCCCAAGGACTGAACACCCTTCGGCTCCTACTCCTGCACCTCCTGCTGCGGCCGCTGCACCTCCTCCGCCGCCAACCAGCGAACCTGAGCGTGCCGCCAGGAAGATGGATGTCGACGAAGACTATGACGACAGCGGTGAGGAAGACAAGAAGGTCAACGTTGGCGGTCCCAACTCTGGCCCGACATCTGCGTCGGGAGAGATGAAGACGTCGACTCCTACCAGTGCCGGCATGAATGGGATCATGGGGCCTGCGCCCAAGACCGAGGGCGCAGCCTAAGGCGACAAAAGACTAGGATTTCGGAAGCACTGAAGAAAAAAAAACAATTGTCTTGGTGGTTGTTGTTCTGTTCAGGCTTTGGTGTGCGCTGATTGCAGTTGACTACATACCCCTTCTCCTCTGTCGATGATTCTGTTCTCAAAGTGTATATCCCTGTTGTTGTTGATGAGACATGGTTGCTGAGGCTTCTATCGTGTGCAAACATGGTTGGCAACTCTACGAAGGTTTCGTCTGTCGCTACGTAATTAGGATAGTATGTTTTAAAAAGAAAGAGCACATTTTGACAAGCAGTCACTGTTTCTTGCAGACATGCACAATTGTTTTGTCATCTGCCTGTGGTTCAAAATGTTCAGCACGAAGGCAGGTCAGGTGGCGGCTCCTGCATTGGGAGGTAGAAATCGACTAACAAGCAACATCACGGAGAGGAATGGCCTGATCAGAACATCCCATTGTTGGTCAGCCAGCTCCATAATGATCGGCCGTAGCTGCGGAGCATGTACTACCTACCTACCTTACGTAGCTGTGTAGTCTTCCCAGAGTCTCAGGAAAAACTAGCGAGACGGTCACGTCACTGGCCACAAACACCACCCCGACTTTGCCAGGTTGACATCTCTCTCTCTCTCTCTCTCTCGGCCACAATGGACGGATATGTCCTTGCAAGTTACTAGGTCACGTGCAAGACCCTGCGGATCACCAGTGACTGCCCAGGTGGGCAATTTTCGTTGGAGCCGACTGGACGGATTTGGGTCAAAAGTGGCCCAAGCTTCCAGGGTTCCTCTCCTCACCGCACCCGCCCAGCTTCCTGCCACCACTGGCCGAGCGCTTCGGCTAATCTCAGGCCATTGGTCCCGCAGTTTTAGCCCGCACCAAAAAATTACAGCCCTCACCACCTGGGAAATTTCAGACCCGGTCCAGTTGACTACTTTCGCGATCTTCCTTTTCACCATTCCTCTCGACCCGATTGACACTATTCCTTAACGCCAGGAACAAATCAATCGAAGATGTCTCACCGAAAGTTCGAGGCTCCCCGTCACGGCTCTCTGGCTTTCCTGCCCAGAAAGCGTGCCGCCCGTCACAGAGGCAAGGTCAAGTCGTAAGTTTGGTTCCGACATCGAGATGGTGATTTTTTTCTGGCGTCCTCGTCGAGCTCGGGTCGCGAAGGAGAGAAGGGGGTCGTTCAGAGCTCGGGGGTTGAGCCTGCATCGCAGCATGGCGCCTCTCTCCGGCCTCGTCATGCCGCTTCTCTCCTCTCGGCCTCCTGCGCCGTTGGGTGTTCCAGTGCAAACATGATCGCTAACCGCTTGCCTTCGCCAGCTTCCCCAAGGATGACCCCAAGAAGCCCGTCCACCTGACGGCCGCCATGGGCTACAAGGCCGGTATGACGACCATCGTCCGCGACCTCGACCGCCCCGGTGCCAAGGCACACAAGAAGGAGGTCGTTGAGGCCGTGTCCATCATTGACACCCCCCCTGTACGAACAACGCAGCCCGCTTGGCTATGTGCCTATGGCTAACATCTTGATTTACAGATGATCGTTGTTGGTCTTGTGGGCTACATCGAGACCCCCCGCGGTCTGCGTTCGCTCACCACCATCTGGGCCGAGCACTTGAGCGACGAAGTCAAGCGCCGCTTCTACAAGAACTGGTACAAGTCCAAGAAGAAGGCCTTCACCAAGTACGCCAAGAAGCACTCCGAGACCAAGGGCTCCTCCATCACCCGCGAGCTCGAGCGCATGAAGAAGTACTGCACCGTCGTCCGTGTCCTCGCCCACACCCAGATCCGCAAGACCCCTCTCAAGCAGAAGAAGGCCCACCTTATGGAGATCCAGGTCAACGGTGGCTCCGTTGCCGACAAGGTCGAGTTCGGCCACGGCCTCTTCGAGAAGCCCGTCGAGATCGACTCCATCTTCGAGCAGGATGAGATGATCGACGTCATTGCCGTCACCAAGGGTCACGGTTTCAACGGTGTCACTGCCCGTTGGGGTACCAAGAAGCTCCCGCGTAAGACCCACAAGGGTCTCCGTAAGGTTGCTTGTATCGGTGCCTGGCACCCGTCCCACGTCCAGTGGACTGTTGCCCGTGCCGGTCAGATGGGTTACCACCACCGTACCTCGGTCAACCACAAGGTTTACCGTATCGGCAAGGCCGACAACGAGAGCAACGGTGCCACCGACCAGGATGTTACCAAGAAGACCATCACTCCGTGAGTAGCCCATTCGATCTCTGAACCTCTTGAGGTCGTGAACCCCGCTAACCAGTTTTCCCCTTGTAGTCTGGGTGGTTTCGTCAGATATGGTGAGGTCAACAACGACTTCGTCATGGTCAAGGGTTCCATCCCCGGTGTCAAGAAGCGAGTCATGACCCTCCGCAAGTCCATGTTCACCCACACCTCGAGAAAGGCTCTGGAGAAGGTCGAGCTCAAGTGGATCGACACCTCGTCCGAGTTCGGACACGGTGCTTTCCAGACCCCGGCGGAGAAGAAGCAATACCAGGGTACTCTCAAGAAGGATCTCGTCCAGGCCTCGTAAAGGGTGTCTGTGTTTCCTTGATTCTGTCACTTGCATCGGAGTTCCTGGGGTTCAATCATGGCTACTGTCAAGGGCGTGGTGGTCTGAAAATTGGTATTTGAGGTATCTAACGCAGCTAATGAGAAAAGTTGCATGATGAACAAAGAACCTAGAGATTCCCCCAGACATGTACACTTGGTGCGAAAATTGATCATGATTGTAACGTGAACTTGTATACCCACTGTGCCCACCATGTAGTCGTAAAAAAAAAAGCTCTCCACTAGTGTCTCTGTGTGTCGGGCGTTTATCGATTGCCCTCAGCTGTAAGAAGAAACAAGCTTGGGCGGCCGGGCATGCAGGTTGCGTCATCTGGATAGTCCACCCACTATCGTCGTCCAAGACCCAACACCAGCTCCATGTCCAAGTCAACCCTTCGGCCTGGTTTACATAGACTGCTTCCTTTACCCCAGCCAGTGCTCGCTTTCGCACGCAATTCACTCTTACCAGCGACCACCTGTCTCCAAAGTTGGAGCCTAACATCCCGAGAGCTTTCCACGAATTCGGTACCGGTGCTTTCTGGAAATCGAGTCTCGGCACTCCTTTCGAGTTGCGGACGAAGCTTCACAACAACTCGAACACTTAAGATGGCTTCTGATGAGGACTACATGGCCTTCTTGGACAAGGCCAACAAAGATCCAAGCGAGGGTTATGCCAAGTCCGCCAGCAAGCAGGACTTCAAGGCCACGGACGCCGGAGTCCAGGTGCCCGCCGTGCTGAAGAGCGCCGTCAAGGATGCCTTCTACACCAGTGACGCGGACGAGCCGTTTGTTCCCGTGTGCCTGAACTGGGACGAGGGCGGCAAGGGTTTGCCGGACGAGGGTAGGTTCAACACACCAGTTCCACCGTCATCGTGGCCGTTGATGGCGCTTTCTTTTCCGCACTCCTGTGTCCCGAAAACATGCTAACGTATCACTTCTCTTCGCGCTACAGAGGAGTTCGCCTCTCTGATCTCCCACCCTTCCCCATCGAGCGCCCAGGTCGAGATCCAAGATCCCGCCGACTGGGACGCGCAGGGCCAGTACAGCGACCTCATCGACGCGGTGCGCAAGGCGGGCAAGGGCAACGACGTGCGAGTCTACAGGATAACAAGAGACGGGACGAGGGTCGAGTACTGGGTCGTCACTACCGAGGGCAAGGGCAAGGGGGCAAAGCTCGTCGGTGTCAAGGCCCTGGCTGTGGAGAGCTAAGTGGAGGATGCTATTGTCTATGCGGCACGACGTCTGTAGTTTGCTGGACGGTACGAAAAGAACACGGATGCCTGCGCTATGCGGCAGACGTCTGATCATGAATCATGACGGCGTAAGATATGTTTTTATCTTTTCCCCGACAATACAATCTGTTTGGGCAATATGGATTCGGCGTTGCAGCAGGGAGGCTTGCAGTACATGTCGCCGGATATATTACTCGACTGATGCAAATTCCTGAACACTGAAAGTATCTTACTGATCCACTGTATGATTATAGCATATACCTAGGTATACGTGTATATGACCGTATACCGGTATCGTAGGTCAGAATTCATGACAAGCCAAAGGATCCGTAGGTCGGTTAAGAGCGGCAGCGTTAGTACCTGCTGTACCTAAGCCCAATATGTCCCCAGGGGTCCGTGAATGTGAATTGGATCTGATCTCAGTAAGCCAACTTTGGAAATGCATGCAGGGTTTTGTCTCCCATGGCCCTGGGTCAGCACATCCAGAGCACTCGAGCACAGAATTCGAGCGTGAGTCATTCAAGCTGGACAAGAGAACAGGCGGAAAAATTTCCACTCTTGTTACAGTGTAAATTGACATCAATCAAGAGACCTGTGGACTTGAAGTACTCTAGAGAGCTGCTTGAGCGTCGTTCGGTTGTGATCCCGAAGTTGGTGCTTACCTTAGCTGCCAGATTCTATCTGACTGTGCTGTGCCCCGCCGCGGCGCCGATGACAGGAAGCCCAAAAAAGTCTCCGTGGGCGTATTTTTGGACTGACCACGAATTCTGGGTGACTCAAGCGAACTCCGTGCTCATTTCTCACCGCATAGGGATGCAGAGGAGCTGATTGTCTCCTAATTTTTTGCACATCGTATCCCCCTGTGCCAGAGACACCCATCCACCATGGAACACGCCGTAAGGAGCTCCAATGGGCCTGCGAAACTCAGTCCTCCCGCGAAGCAGTCACCGACTAACATCCCACTTTCCGTAACACAGGACGTCGTCCCCTCCCTTGCGACCATCCAGGACCTCCTCTCCCAACCGCAACAGAGCGCCAAGAAGGCCAACCTCGTCCCCGTCTATGGCCAGATCTCCGCCGACCTGATCACCCCGTCGGCCGCCTACCTCAAGGTCTCGTCGCACTCCAAATCCGACTTCTCCTGCCTCTTCGAGAGCGCCGCCACCGAGCGAGTCGGCCGGTACAGCTTCGTCGCCTCGGGGCCCCGCAAGATCATAAAGACTGGAGAGGGCCATGGCGAGTCGGTCGACCCGCTTCCCGGTCTGGAGAAGGAGCTCGCGCAGTACACCGTGCTCGAGGTGCCCGGCCTGAAGCTGCCTCCTCTCAGCGGTGGTGCCGTCGGCTATGTGGGCTACGACTGCGTGCGCTACTTCGAGCCCAAGACGGCGAGGCCGATGAAGGATGTCTTGAAGATCCCAGAGTCGCTCTTCATGCTGTTCGACACCATAGTGGCGTTTGATAGGTTCTACGGCGTCATCAAGGTCGTCACATACATCCCCGTCGCCGATAGCTTGGACGCCTTGCCTGCGGAGTACGAAAAGGCCACACAAAGGATTGCAGAGCTGATCGACGTGCTCAACTCGCCCGAGATACCAATTCCCGTCCAGGGCCCCATAAAGCTAGGTAATGAGGCGACGTCGAACATTGGGCGCGAGGGCTACGAGAACCATGTCACGACGCTCAAGAAGCACATTGTGAAGGGCGACATCATCCAAGCCGTGCCGTCACAGCGGTTCGCAAGGCCGACGAGCCTGCACCCTTTCAACATCTACCGTCACCTACGCACGGTCAACCCTTCCCCATACCTGTTCTACATTGATTGCAAAGACTTCCAGATCATTGGGGCATCGCCGGAGCTGCTCGTCAAGGAGGAGGAGGGTCGCATTATCACCCACCCTATCGCCGGTACGGTCAAGCGTGGCAAGACGCCCGAGGAGGATGAGAAGCTGGCGACCGAACTGCGCAACTCACTGAAGGACCGGGCCGAGCACGTTATGCTGGTCGACCTGGCACGGAACGATGTGAACCGAGTGTGCGACCCCCTGACCACTAGGGTAGACCGACTCATGGTCGTCGAGAAGTTCAGTCACGTGCAACACCTGGTCTCACAGGTGTCTGGTGTGCTGCGGCCAGGCCAGACCAGGTTCGATGCTTTCAGATCCATCTTCCCTGCCGGCACAGTCTCCGGCGCGCCCAAGGTGAAGGCGATGGAGCTGATTGCCGAGCTCGAGAAGGAGAAGCGAGGTATCTACGCCGGTGCGGTTGGTTACTTTGGCTACGGCTCAGTGGACGTCGAGGGCAAGGAGGCAGAAGGCGCCATGGACACCTGCATTGCTCTTAGGACAATGCTGTACAAGGACGAGGTGGCTTACCTCCAAGCCGGTAAGTGCTCGCTTTTCTGGCAGGTGTCTTCCATTTGCAGATTACTAACGCAGTATAATATTAGGAGGCGGCATTGTGTTCGACTCGGATGAGTACGATGAGTGGATGGAGACTATCAACAAGCTTGGCGCCAACACCACGACGCTCAAGTCGGCGGAGCTGTTATACGCCAAGCGCCAGAAGTAGGGGTGTGGGGGTATCATACAGCATAGAGTACAGTTAGGACAGCCGGAGTTTTAGACGATGCTACGACGCGCCATGGAGTACGAGTCTTTCGGTTCAGATTCATAGGGAAGGAAGCAGATAAAATGCAGTAGCAAGGCGTTCTGTGATTTATTCTATCATATCGTCGCAAGTACTCTCAACGACCTATTTCATCTCCTGCTTCTCCTCGTCCCACCAGTGGCCGGACAAGTCGCCAGCCGGCGAGACCTTCTCCATACCATTCAGCTTCCTGTAAGTCAGCTCATCAACGTTGATGCCGTATATCGTACGGGCCTGGTCCTGGAAATTAGCGCTCGGGCGTTCTTGTAGGTAGATCAACGCCATGAAGTCGTCATCTTTTCTGCTCCCAACCTCGCTCACGGAAGTGGCTCTCAAGTCTCAACTGCATCGCCGTTTTCATTGGGAAATATTGTGCATCCTCAGACCCCTACACGTCTCGCCGCGTCCTTCACTACAGCACACCACAGCACATCTCATCACACGACATGACTCAAAACAGAGCCCTTCAGGAGGAGTTCAGGGGGTCAGAAAAGGGGAAAAAAAAGGGGGGAAA